ATACATTTTTGGACTCATGTGTGCCTTGGAAATATCCGTCCGCTTCAACAAATCCTCCTTGGTATACAAGGTGCCAGACTAACCTAAAAAATAAAAAAAATAAGCTTTTACTTAAATATAAAAAAAACCTGCAGTAGTGTTGATTTCTCAAGATACCTACTAGCTCGGTCGAATTTTACCGTGCATAACGCTGAATGTTATAGGAATTATATTGACCGCTGCCGAATTCAATTTACTCAGGATCCAAAGCTGTTTTATAATTTTGTAAACACTAAGCGTAAACACGTATCTTTTTCACCACTATTTACGTTTGAAAATTCCTCTGCGACTTCGGATCAGGCCATTGCCGATCTATTCGCACAATTTTTTCAAACAACTTATTCTCCTCCAAAATTGACTGATCAGCCTTACGCATTTAACATTCAAGCAGCAAATCTTATTTTCTGTCCGTCTTTTTCTGAGAACAACTTATTATCTGGTCTTTTAAGGGTAAAACCCATTTATTCGCCAGGCCCCGACGGAGTACCAGGCTGTGTGCTAAAATACTGCGCCAGGGCTCTGTGCAAACCTCTCCTAAGACTTTTCACCTTATCTTTGGAAACCTCGATTTTTCCCCTTAAGTGGAAGGAATCATTTATAATTCCCCTACATAAAAAAGGGAAAAAGTCCGAGGCTGCCAACTACAGAGGCATCTCTAAGTTGTCGGCAATTCTAAAGTTATTTGAAAAATTAATTACCCCTCATTTGCAACACCTTTGCTCTTCGATTATCACTCCTTGTCAGCATGGCTTTATTAAGCGTCACTCCACCACCACAAACTTATTGGAGTTGACATCCTTTGTCATAGATGGCTTTTGTAAGGGATATCAAACCGATGTAATTTACACAGACTTCAGCAAAGCATTTGATTCAGTTAATCACTCACTCTTGTTGAGTAAACTGAATATGCTGGGTTTTCCTCTTAACGCTGGGTTTTCCTCTTAACCTCTTAACGTGGATCTCCAGCTACCTAGATGGAAGGACACAAAGAGTCTTATTTAAAAACATACAGTCCCGTCTGGTCCGTGCTAAATCCGGCGTCCCTCAAGGAAGTCATCTTGGCCCGTTATTATTTACGCTTTTTATAAACGACTTGCCCCCTGCTTTAACGAACTCTCTAGTTCTTATGTATGCAGATGATGTAAAGCTTTGTCTTCAGTACAAATCCATCTCTGCCCAATGCAGTCTTCAGTCTGACCTTAATAACTTTCAAAAATGGTGTTTAGCTAATGATCTAATACTTAATGGATCAAAATGAAAACATATGTCTTTTTATCGTTCTTGCCCTCTGCAAGCTACTTATTCTATTAATGGGATTGCCTTAGAAAAATTAACCCAGGTTAATGATCTCGGCATCCTATTAGACATCAAACTTAAACTTGCCGACCATATTTCCTTAATGGTTAATAAGGCTAAAGGAGTCCTTGGTTTTATCAAAAGGTGGTCAAAAGAATTTAATGACCCCTATATAACCAAAACATTATTTATTTCCTTGGTTCGTCCTATACTAGAGTACAGTTCATGTGTCTGGAGTCCCCAATATGGAGTACATCAGGACCGCATAAAGAAAAAGAAGAATTTCCTAACTTTTTCACTTAGAGGTCTAAACTGGGATGCAAATCTTCAACTTCCATCTTATAGTAGTAGACTCTTACTCATAACCTTACCTAGCTTAACAAATCGTAGGACAATGCTCGGTGTAGTTTTTCTGCATAACCTTATTAACGGGGATGTAGATAGCCAGCATTTACTAACACGCTAAATTTCAACATTCCTAATAGAAGGACTCGAAACTTTAGTCCTCTGTTCCTTAGCCGTTGTAGTTCGACATATGCACTGCATGACCCTTTTAGGGTATTATGTTCGAACTACAATGGTCTCTACTCTATAACATCTCTTTCCTGTCCCTCAAACTTAAAATATAGAATTTTAAATTTCCTTACTAACTACTCTTAGCTTAATAATTAACAAATAACTTAATATATTCTAACAAATCGTTTCTTGAGAGCCCCTCGGTCGTCTGGGCCTCTAAGCTTTATGATGAATACAGGAATGCTAGCTGATGCTCTTATTGATGCACAAGCCATTTCCAAATTCTGAAAGACCGGAAAAAAAAAAAAAAAAAAAAAATTATTATGCTTATTGAAATTCTGGCAACATCTCAAAGAAAAAAAAAAACGTATACCCTTTCTGTTGTCCGGGACGTCATCTGAGCTTCCTTTTTTGAAAACTTTGCACTGAAACTAAGAGTTAGTTACAAACTACTATTAATTTGTATTTTTTAATGTTAATATTGATAAACCCAAAGAAATTGTGTATTCTTTAAAAAAGTTTACTTTGATTTGAGATGAAGAAACTATAATTTACTGCATTAAATCATTATAACTCGATCATTATTAATTTATTTGACATTAAGCGCCCAAAATAATTAATACCTGAAATTCATAACCATTACCATTTATTAAAAGCCACACTTCTCAGGTTGGAAACAACAATGAACTTTATTTCTCCAAATATGTCCAATCGAATATTAAACTGATTCGATTCATTTCAAGCCTCTTGAAACTGAAAAATTATAACATTGAATTTTATCCAGATTTAGGAAGACAGTGAAATCCAGGTTGGCATAAAATAGGTTTCGTTTCCACTATTGATCCAAACAACAATCCAACTAAACAAAAGGTCAAGCCTTGAAGTTTCATTCTTTCAAATCAGTCCGTTTCCCTTTATTCAAGAATTAAAAGTGTTGTTGACTTTTAAAACACCTTAATTTATATAGAAAATGGTTTGGCTTGTAACTAACAAACCACCAATGCAGAACCAAATTTAATTTTCCACTTTACCCTGAACTAAAGTCCTTGCAATGAAACGTATTTTTAAAATTAGTTACCGCTGTTTATAAGACTTTCACATTATTTTTAAAAGGCCTTCAAGATTACTAAAAAATGCGTTTATACGTTTATGGTTTTAATTTATAATTTATCTAATTTATTTATCATATGCATCAATATTTTCCCAAATTATGAAAATATATAAATATTCAGGATCTTCCACGGGAGATCCAACTACCAATGAAACCAATGCGGCCAAAAAATTAATATTTGAAAGGAATTTTGAAATTCATTCAGATTTACTTATTCGTTAATGTATACCTATCCTAAAAATATTTGAAAAAATAATTAAATACTTTGAGGATAAAGATAGGTTTTTAGAAAACGAGTTCATTAAACTTCATGAATTATATTGGTTTTGGTTGAACCTTTCTATGTACATGTTCAGGTCAGAATACTTAATTCATTTGATGCAGAACCAATCTACAATTTATTTTCAGGATACAGAATATGTTTTCATCATCGATTTTCTTGAAAATAATGAAAGTGCATATTATATAACAAAAACTGCAGGGACGGCTATAGTCGAGTTTCCCGACTATATTATACCCGGTACTCATCCCTTCCACCCTCAATTTAATTAACTTTTAGAGTTTAAACTTTTTTTTTTTTTTTTTTTTAAATGTGTATATTTATTTAACATTAACAGCTATACTGCTACCTTTGTGGCAGCTTGAACAGGTTGTAATTTACAGGGGAATATAAATAAGTACGTATCAATGATTATACATTAATTCTATATGCAATTAATTCTATTTTCTATATATAATTCTAAATTATTTTAATTTGAAATTTTTAACTACAACGGCTATATAAATCTTAAAGGAAGGTCATGTGGATGGTTTCTTTTTATACCCTTGCAGAGGGTATTATAATTTTGGTCAAAAGTGTGCAACGCAGTGAAGGAGACATCTCCGACCCTATAAAGTATATATATTCTTCGACTAAGTTTAAACTTTAACTGTATGGATTCTCACCAACAATTTTTGTAGCATACTTTTGTGGGGAAGCGTTTAAAATTTTAGCCCGTTTGTATGGGAAATTGTAAATATATGGGTATATCTCCCCTAAAAATCTCCCGATTTGGATGAAATTGGTGTTTCAGACATAAATTAAATATAAAAAAAAATTGGAATCAAAAGTTATTCAAACAACTTTCCAGTAGAAGCGCTACAGAAATTTGCAATTTGCGCGGCCGGAAGGGGGCGTGGCAAAAATTTGAAACAAACATGAACTGCATGGGCATTATAGAAGTCTCCATGCCGAATCCTATAGCGCCTATAATCCTATTTCTTGCCATAAAAATAATTAAATATAGTACTTTCAGGAACAAGACATGTTTTGAGAAAACTTTTGACCGCTGGTCAGGTTTTTATTAAAAAAACAAAAGTTGATTAATGTTCATCAATTACATTGATTATATTCCTCTTTCAAGTGGATGAAGAGGTCGATATCTGCTAGGGCAATCACATGTGTTTGTAATTTGATTAACACCACATAGCTTGCTGCAAATAACCGCTATCACAAAGATTAAAGTATTCCACCCAAACAGCTCCATCATAAATCCGTCTTTATTTCAGCTTGAAAAAGTATCTTCCCTTTTTAATAGGGCCATACTTAATTCATTTTATGCATAACCAATCTATAACTCATTTTCATTATACTCATATAACCCGATTTTCTAGAAAAATTTGAAAATTGCAAATGTATAATTATCTAACAAAAATAGAGGGCAATAGTCCAGGATACTATAGACTATATGATACCCGATACTCTCCTCTTTAACTTCTCAAACTTTCTATAAATGTTTTTTTTAATAAAGCCTTATCTATCTATGACTCATTAACCAAGAACCCAAACAACTTGCCACATAACAACTGCCACAAGTAGAAGGATACAAGGACAGAATAGGATAGATAGAAGGATAGAAGGAGTATCTGGACAAGCTGGATAAGCCCATGAACACCCAGGAAACTGCTTCCAAACTCAAGAAACCGAAAAGACCTTTTGGCGCCTCCTTGTTTTTCAAACAGACGTTCTATTACCCCTTAATGTGGATTAAATCAAAAAATTTTTACAAGCAATGCTTTGAAATTCCTTATAATTCAATTACGGCTTAAAGGTGACCAACATGGGTTTGGCAACATCCTTGGCCACCTCGACTCCTGCCAATTCCTCAACAATCTTCAGGGCGAAATCAAAAGATGTTCCAGGTCCTCGGCTAGTAATTAGATTCCCGTCTTGAACCACACTTTGATCGTCTATGTAGCTAACAAGAAAAGGGTTTTGAATGCTTTTAAAATGAATAACTTACCAATACTTTTCCTCCAACTGGCGCCGCATATCTGGGTGAGATGTCAGGGTCTTTCCCTTCGCTATTCCGTGCTTGGCCAGAGCCGTGGGTGCGGCACATATGGCGGCGATAAGTCCGCCCTGGGACTCCTGCTGGCGTAAAAGTTCACCCACAGCACTGGAGCCCATCAAGGCCTTGTTGCCGGCCAACCCACCGGGCAGGACCACTACATCGTAGTTACCTTGGCCCATTGCCTGCTCCAGAGAAGTATCGGGCACAATGACAACTCCCCGGGAACACTTGATGGGCTCACAAGTATCCAATCCAGCCACAGTTACGTTGATCTATTTTTTAATAGCATTAGCTATATGCCAAGTCCCAGTCCCCCGTTCAGACTGTCCTTCCAGTGAACTCACCTTTGCTCTTCGAAGGACATCGGCCGATATGGTAAACTCCATTTCCTCAGCACCTGGTGCCAATACAATCAAGGCGCTCTTGGCATTTTGGCCACATTTTTGGCTGGCCAAGCGTAAGGGTTCTATATAGAAGCCAAGTCTGCCAAACGATCTACCCAAACCTAACAACATATTTTGGGAGCAACCCCAAAAAAACGGAATGGAAAGTCAATGTTAATGTTATCAATGTTATTTAAATATTAGGAAGAGACTATGAATACTTATATCCATCATGACACTCAACTTCCTGATGAATGATTAGGACATTACTTTGGGACCCTCAAATCGACATAAACATTTACTGAGTTTTTGAAGATAAAAGCTTTGGACTTTTTTTCAAAATCTGTATTGAGAATTATTTTGATAATGATTCTCATATGGATCTTTATACATATATCTATAAACTGTTTATGTCCGAAGTTAGCTTTTCTGGTTTGAATTAGGACAACTTATGGTAAGGGTCTTTGGGTAAAATCGGTAGGACCTCCATTAGAGTGTTCGGCAGCTGATCTTCAAAGATGGGCGAATACCCAGTAAGCATTACAAAGAAGGGCTAACGTGCAGAATAGAAGATTCATGGAAGAGCTGCGAAGATGAGGTGTGACACCAAGGCAGTGTGAGATCACCAAGGTGATCTCATGCCAAGACGTCAGATTACAGGTCATGTACATACAAGCGGATGATAACGCCATTTGGACACTCAAGGATGCAACGAGTAGACTTCGGAGTTAAGCTTCTTTCAGGTTTTATACCTAAGCTTCGAAGTTAGAAACTAACGTGGCTGATGCACTCCACCTACGGCTTATGCACCCCTACGATATGATTCATTATTCTTTGCATTTGTACGGCACCTCACAGAGAGTGAAGCTGATGTACATAGCCCTCGTGAAGGAGTCCTGGAAATAAGAATTCTTATTCGAAGAAGAAGAACCAAGTGGATATTGTAAGTAAAGGCTTCAGCTATGGATGACCCTTAACGGCTGGACGGTATACACCCACCGTTGAATAAAAAAAGAGTATAATGCGACATTACTATCAGTAGGGTATCAGTGATAAGTACAAACGAAAAGATCAAGTGTATCTTTAATTTTGTTCTCAATCCTTTGAAAGAGCCTTATTTAGTTTATAAGAAAACCGTCTCAATCCACCACCTTTAAAAGAAAAGTTGGCTTGGCTTTGCAGCTTTATAAAAGGACCCTGAAAAGATTCCTTTCATAAAATATATGGATTATATTCCCTCAAAAACCTGGAGTAAAAAGCCATCTTTAATTTTTAGTTAAATATATTTTATTGAACAAAAATGAATTGTATATGCTGTTCTCTTACTTTAAACGTAAACTTTAATCGCTTTAGAGTTGAAACTGTTTTGGTTTTAATGTTTCAGATTTAGACATCCAATATATAATGTAAAACATAGATTTCAAGACAAACCAAAAATCCTGATCAAAATAATTGTAATTTGTATAAAAACATACACATTTAAATATAATTGTTTTGTTTAACTTAATTGAGTTTGTTGTTTCCTTTTGTTGAATATATTTTGCTTTAAATGGTATTTGTATTGAAGCGCTTATGATTAATTGTTAGACAGCTTGACAGAAATTCATCGAAAAGATACACTCCACTTCTCATTAAATTGCATATGTTTGTCGCAAACATACTTCGTCTTGTTACATAAATTACAATATGTGGAAAAATGTTTCTGTTTTTTTTTTTTACGTCGTATTTTAAGTCACTTTTAAAACTGGTTTGATTTGTATTCGTCACTAAACTTGATTTTTCCTTTGCCTTTACTAATAACATTTAAAAAGATCACCAAAGTTACAGATTTCCCATTTCTTACGTTGCTCATTTACTTTATTTTTTTTTCTTTTAATTTTTATCAATATGTAGACGTATTTTTTGTTTGTTTTTGCTTTAGTCAGCTTAAATTAAAACTAAAATTATGTATTTTATTGATTAATTACCCGGCGTTTTGGTAAAGTAAGGGATGTACCAGATGATGATCTTTTGTTAGCGACGATTTGTTGCGATTTTTTTGTTTTCTTTATATATATATTTTTTTTTTAGACTTAATCACGATTATGTGTTGCATATATATATATATATATGTGTTTTAATCAGATAGATTTTTGCTAGTCGAATTTCAGCTAAGGGTTATTCTGATTCGTATTTGGAACACTACGTCAAGAGAGAGTAGAGAAGTATGTGTCGTCTATGGGGGATTCGTAATGTGGATCGTTTGGATCGCGGTAGGAGTCTTGGGGTCTAATTGGAAGAGTACACACATATCATAAGTCGAGTTATTCAAATATAACGTACATAATTGCTTGGAGTTAGTCCATCATTTCTTGATTTCGTGGTAATTGTGGCATATAATTTTAATCGTTAGATTTAGATTTGTATTTTTTATTTCCTTTAGGAAGAGTTGTGCAAATTGCTGTTCTAGCTTCGATTTCGATCAGATTATATATCTATATCTATTCATCTTGTATATAATTGTAGACATCTATAAACGGCACATTTATAAGTAATATGTAGAAACAATGCGATCCCAATGCTATATCTTACTTATCGATTTTTCATTAAAATATTTCTTGCATTATATCGTGTATTGTTTGTTTTTTTTAATTATGCCTCGATCTATCTTTAGTTTAAAGCTCAATTTAATTTTGACAGATAAAAATGTAAGTTCCCATATAGATATCCGGCTTTTTGTCTTTCGTTTTGGGGCCTTGACTCTCTCTCTTTCTGAGCAGAACATAGGACTTGGGTTGGAAATCATATCTAAGGCTTCACTTTCCTACTTTCTCCTCAAACCTGTCCCCCAACATCATCTTCGTTAGCTGCCCACGACTCTGAAGAAACCATTAAATTGTTGTGTTCTTTCTTATTTTTCTTTTTTTTGTTTTTTTGGGGTGTGTATCCGGGGGGAAAATCGGAGTACTCTAGGATCTAGAATTATATATAGGGACTTGCTGATATATCAGGATGAGTGATATACCAGCTGGCTGTTGGCATTTTCAGTGATTAGTGTAGATTTCCCCGTCGATCTCACGCGTTTCTTCTTATCTGCGAGTAGTTAAAGCTTTTGGACTTTCTCATGTATTGTGTTGGTAAAGTAAATTATTGTTGAATATTTCGCTCAATCTACAACTACGAGATGCATTCATTGTCGGCACACATTTCAGCTTCAGCTTAAACTTATTGAATACATTATATAATATAAATGTTGGATCTCTCTGGCCGATATCGAATCGAGCCGCGAATCTCGAACCCTTTTGCATTGTTAGGTTGATTTTTTTTTTTTGTGTTTTGTGGTTTTTTTTAGCTTAAAAACTAAAATTGGTTGATTTGTTTTTCTTGCTTGGATTAGGTTGGCGTTTAAGTAAACATTAGAAATAAATTTTAAATTTTAATCCCTTGTGTTGAAACATTAACACACAAAACATATGGAAAATGAATAATTACAATTTAAGAAATCAACAAATACGACCCGCACATCAATTGCATCCCAGGACCAGCAAAGGACCTTATTGGTTGTGTCATTTTTCAGGATCTCGATTTATGATTTTAGCCCTTGGCCGGCCTGGGATATCCCCTCCTAGGTTTGGTTGTGTACCCTAATTTGTAAGTGTTTAATAAATGATTAAATGTATAAGCATATAGATTTAAATATGTATTTTATAATGTTCACATCGTGTATGATTGGCAAAACAGCTTGCAAACGTTGAAAACTAAATCTAAAATAAAGTTTCTGTAATAGATGGTACACGTTTATAAATAAGGTTCGGCCCGGGGGCGGCTGGAGAGCAAACACCGATCCCCGGACCTTATAAATAACAACTGATTATAATGTTAACTTGAACTGTGTCCTCGATATAGTACAATTATTAAGCATACGACGTTCCATCATATTTATTTTTGTTTGTTGCTTGTTGCATGTTTGTTGATGGTTGAATTGCAAAACTAAAACTACTTTGTAAAATATTGAAATGTAGTTGCCACCTCTCCTGCGCCACCCCCACCTCTCCGTGGGGGAGGGAGGGGGCGTTTGGAGAAAAGTTGCCTAGTTTATATTACCCGTACACCACTTGGCTCTAAAGTTATTTAATACGCAATTACAATTTATGAATCAGATGCCTGTTTGGTACTTGTGTTATACCATTCGAAAAAAATAACATAATGAAATCAACTAGATTTGTGTTGGTTTTGCCGTTTTAAAAAAATTAAAAAATATATATAATATACTAGAGTGGGGTTTAGCTAATTTAGTAAAAGGTACATAAATAAGAGGGTCTTTGAGTGATATGCCTTGGACTCGGGTTGGCGTGGGGTGGGTGTGGGGTGTTTGGGAGGGGAGTAGCTCTGAGTGTGGGTGTTTGTATTAATGTGCATACAAGAGGTCAAAACTAAAGACTAAACATAAAATATCTGCACTACTAACGCACTGCTGTTAGCGTGTTATTTGCACTTTTGAATTTAAGTATTTATCATCCTCAATATAGGCTTTTGTTTTTGTTTTCTTTAATAAAAAAAAACGTTTAAACTTGACTCCTACGCTAGGTATACATATATGTATATATATATAACCACTCTGCTCCATATATAAGTATATAAGATATTGTTTGACCAAAAGTTTGTCCCTTGTTGAAATTGCAGTTCTCGGTTATCGGTTCTCGGCCGCGCTCTCATCATCACCCATACATACATTCTTTTTTTCAATCTTCTGGCATTCTCTGATTTTTTTTTTTGGTAGAGCCCAACTTACAAACTATTAAATGTCCTGGCTAGCTTTAATCTGCGCCTTAGTTATTGAAGTATTTTTCTTTGTTTCCTTAGTACATGCTAACTTGTGTTTACGCTCTCTCCAACTTCATCAGCTTCATCAGCTATATGTGGCATTTTTTAAAATATTTTCACTTCTTTTTTAATTAATTTGGTGGTGGTCTTCGTTCACAGTACAGAGAATCCGAGTTATTGGTGTTGTTTGTTGTTGGTTGGTGTGTTGGTGTGTTGTTGTTGTTGTTGTGGTGAGTCGATCAGCAACTTATTCATTTTGTTTGTATACTAAAAACCTTTGGTTGTATGCATTCATTCATGTCTTCATTTCGTATCGTGTAAAAATATATTGTACAATTTAATCGTAATTTCTATTAGAAAAGTTTATCTCTCTCTCGTGTATGATGACGTGTTTTTTAGCTTTTCTTGCCTTTTGTTGTTTTTGTGTTGGTGTTGTTGTTGCTGTTGCTGTCGTAGTTTTATCTTCTTTTGTTCCCTTAAGTTGATTTCTATTTACTTGCAGTTTTTTGTTTGCTACGCTTTTCTTACATTTGTTGAGAATTTTCACAATTCGCTTTCGTTTATTTTAACCTTCAGTTGCGCCAACTTGTGCATAACATTCGATTCCTTCCCTACATACCTATAATTTCGCGCCTGCCTTGGTGTGAGTGTGGATGTGTGAGTGTCTTTGTGGGATTTTTTATAAAAACTAATATATGCATGCAAGATCCTCGTGTTCTGTACTTCTATACTTTCTTTCCTCTCCTCTCCTAAAATAAATGTAACTCGTAACTTTAAACTTAATCCTAAAAACATGCTTGGCTTTCATCCGCTTGCTGATCTGAGGGTTGGGATGCTGCTGTGGATGCTGTGGTGGTTTAGCTTATTCGAATCGACTTTCGAAATTGATTTTGTATTCCTTAGCTTTTTGGTGTTGGTGTTGGTTTGTGGGTGTTTGTGTGTTTGTGGGGGCTTCGTGTTTCTTTCCTTTCGTTTTGTGGGAGGGACGAGATACTTTTTAGGCAAAGTACATGACCTTCTTGGTGTCCGCATGCACAGTGATGGCCCTGGCCATGGCGCCGGGTGTGCGGTCCTCCGAGCACCCGCTCTGGTGCGAGCCCTCGCCCGAATCGTGCTCCTTCTCGACAAGATGATATCTACCCAAAGAAGAGTATTAATTAAATGATTACCTCAAATTACAGTAGAGACTCACCTGGCACGGAAGGCCACCAAGTGCGCATAGTACGCCGGGGCCGGTATACTGACGGATCGGGTGCAGCGCACGTAGGTGTGACACAGCTGGTACGTGAGGCACTGCAACTCGTCCGAGTCAAAGTGGTTGTCGTCCCACAGCACGTGGTAGTGCGAGGGCCGACTGGTGCCCTGGATGCCCTGGTGACTGCAAAGGTAAAAGTCGAACTCGGTGGGATGGGTGATGCCCACGTCGACGGTGGTGCCGGCGGGTATGTTGCCCGACTTGCCGCTCTGCTCCTTCTTCTCGGCGCAGAAGAGACGCGTGTGATGACGCTTTTGCACCACAATGAACGTGATGCCCGGCCGATACTCCGGCTCCAGCTTGATGCAGGCCTCCCGGATGGCGGTGAGCTCGTGCTGCAGCACGTGGGGGAACTGGCCCTCGGAGACGCCGTCGCGGTACAGTATGATGCGGTGGGGCTTGTAGCCGCCCGTTGACTTGTAGAACATTATGAGCAGCTCCCGTACCATGCTGCTCAGCTCCTGGATGATCTCCTGGCGATGCTGCTGCACTCGCACTGTGGCCGCGTAGCGGGACGGATGAGCATCCATGGACCCGACCACGGCGGCAATCGATGGCTTCTTGTTGTCGCCAGCCGGCGGGTGAGTGACGTCCGCTCCCAAGAAGATAACCGGCTCGTTGAAGACCTTCGGCCGAATGGAGGGCACCAGGATCGAGTTGATGCCGCCCAGCTTGACGTTGATCTTGAGACAGAGATTGGACAGCGTCTGCGGCGACGTCTTGTTCACGTTCTTGGCCTGCACGCACTGGGTGGCCATGCCCAGGACAGTGTCGCCCACGCGCTTCACCTCGGCATACACTGGGGTCTTGCCGGGAAGCACCACAACGACGAGCTGCAGCCCCGGGAAAGTGATCTTCAGGTAGCGGAACATCGGCTCCACCTGATCCGGTCCGGTGGCGTACTTGCAGAAGCAGGGCTGGCCAATTATCGGCATGCCGGCGTCGTTGGAAATCTTCTGGAGTTGCTGAGTGAAGTTGCGCAGCGCATCCTCGCGCACGGTACGCTGGGGAGCAAAGCAGGCAATGGCCCAGATGCGGATCTCCACTCCGGTGAAGAACTGCTTGCCACGCATATCCCAAACACCCTGGTTGGGTGACGCGAGACTCACTTTGTTCTGCGGCGGGAACAGCTGCTGACCAGTGATTCCCGTGGACACACGTCCCCCATACTGAAGCTTCGGGGGCGGGAGAACGCGCCCGCGCACCTCCATCATGGAATTGGAGATGGTTAAGCCGAACTCCTGCACATAGGAGTCGTTGTTAAAGTCGGCGCGCTTCACCAGGTTGTTGATCTCGCGCTCGCGGTCGGGGGCCGAGCGGGCGGTGGCCTTGATCATCGTCGAGGTCTGCATGTCGGTCAGCTTCTTGATGCAGCGCTGGCCGGCGACGATGTGGCACACCTCCAGCGGTAGGTAGGTGTGCTTGTGCTCCTGACCCACCTGGAGGCAGGGCAGATGCGGGTAGCGCAGCTTCATGCGGTACTTGTCCAGGAAGTACTTGGCCACAGTGCACTCCACGGTCTGGCCATTCTCCAGTTGCAATGGGAATCTGTAGAGGACTTCAGTTAGAAGGAGCATTTGGTAAAGAGGATGCGACTTACGATTGCATCTGGGCAGGACGACGGGTGACGTTGCACACGCGGTACTTGCGGCGCATCTGGCCGCAGTGGGTGATCTCGATCTTCAGGCCCTTGATCTCCTTGGTGAACTTCACTCGCTGGGAGTCGGTGAGGGGCTTGCGCTGCTCGTTGATGTCGCGAATGTCCAGAACCTCGCACATGAAATCAATCACGGGCTGGGACTTGTAGAAAGCCGTAGCCGAGACTGAGAAGAATAAGAAGATCGGTCAGAAAGGATCATCAAACAGAGGGGGATTCCCAACTCACCATCGATGTTGAGCATCATCTTCCACTGCGAAGGCCTCACACTCTGATGGAAACCGAACCACACCTCACGACCACCGCCCAAGGGATGGTAGTAGCCGTCGGGGGAGCTGAAGAAACTGCGTCCCACTGGCGTGTACGTCATGCTGGGAAGATGACGCATCACCACGTCGAGCGCCAGGATGGCATCATATGGTATCTGGCGGGTGCGACCCTCGAGAGCCTCCTCCAGGTTGAAGAGCGAGACCTGCGCCTGCCACTTGATCGTCACGCGGAAGATGCGATCCTTGCCCTCGCCGGGCAGGGTGACCTCCAGCTCCAGACGCTCGTTGCCAATGGGCAGCGGGTCCCGGGTGTACAAGTTGTTGCGGCCATCAAACACAGGCTTCAGCACGCCGAAGATCTTGCTGTAGGCGTGGACCATGGTCTCGATGATCTCCCGGTTCACCTTGCGCGGGCACTTGTCCGGCTGGATGTTGATGTCGTAATGGTGGACGTAGCCGCGGGGCATCGTCACCTGGAAGTGGTTGGCGCGCAGCACAATCGGACGACCTTCGCGTCCGAGATTCGGGCGACGCGGGCACGTGAAGACGGGCATGTCCGGCTGGGTGGCTGGCGTGGCGGTGGCAATGGCTGCCGACACGCTGCCGGTGGTGGCGCCGAGGGCGGAGGCGACCTGGGCGGCTGCTGCAGCAGCACCGGCCACAGTGGCTCCCCCAGCCGCCACATTCTGGGCGCTCGGGCTGGTGACCGCGGTGGGATTGACCGATGAGCCGGGCGCCGGTGGTGCTGGAATGTCGGTGGAAAATTAGAACAGAGAACCAGGCTCGATTTTGCGAATCGCTTGAAGGAATAAACGCAAAAACTAGCCAATATCTAACGTTTAGTGTAAGGACAGTCGTGCAGGGCTCTCGGCCACTGCCCGACTCTCCCTAGGTCTACAAGCCAAGGAATGGACATGCATCGAGCTAAACACAAACAAAGAATCCGAGTTCGGAGGTGTTTTAGTTTCAGGTGTGGAGTTATACTTCAAGTGCACTTTTGCATTGTACGAAACAAACATTTACACAAAACGAAAAGTATTAATTATTTTAGTTTTAAGTTTTAGTTTTTGGTTAGTAACATTACGGTAATAAAAAGTTAGTGAGTTAGTAAGTTAGTTAGTTAGTTAGGATTGTGGGTGGAGGGAGTAGTTAGTTAGTTTGGAGGAAGAACACCAACTAAAGAACGTAAACAACAAACAGTTTGGTAGCTTTCCAAGTTCGAATCAATCAAATCGCATAAGGTTCTTAGTAATTTTAGTAATAATTTTCGGTTGGAGAGAGATTTACATGTGAGCGTGTCGAAGCTAGTCTGCGCCTGAGAGGGACTCTGAGGCCGAGTGGGCGAGGGGGTCCACTGTGACTCTATAAAAAGAAAATGTAATCAAATAAACGACAAAATAAATCAATGAAAAGGAACAGGTTCAAATCAAAATCAAAAATCGAATGATAATGATAATGATAATGGTAGTAATGGCCAATCGATGGTTGTCGATGAATCAAAACCCAACAGAACGGGGGAGGTGGTAATGGAGGAAAAAAAAGAAAAACAAAATTAGAGTGCGTTATTAATATTTTAGTTACAGTTTATCTTTCATCATCATCGATCATCAATCAGTGTGTATTATTTATGTGAGAATGTGGGAGTGCTGTTGCCACAAGTCTATCTATGTATATTTATATACTATAAGGTCAGTAACAAGTTGCTGGTCAGGTGGTGTTCGGGTTAGCCCACCATGTTGTTAATAGTGTCGGTTATAGCCCGGGGTTCCCAGGATCCAAAGCCTTCAATGTTCTAGCTCAGCTATGGATTCCAACGATTTGTTTACAATTTCCCATCAACAGGTATACTATTTCAAAGGGACTTTATTTGTTGTTTGAACTTGAGAGTCTCAAGTTGAGATACATAGATACATAGATACAGTTCCCTGCTAGCATTTCCCAACGAAATACGCACAAGTTGTAACGAATTGCGACGCAATTAGAGTGCTCTTGAATCGTGAATCCGTCCGCAGACACAGATACTTTTGAATGGAGCCGACCCGTGTCGGGTCGTTGGAAGCCCAGAAGCTACAAATCAACCCCCAAGAGGAGGAAACTATTGCGTCGCGACGGTCGTTGACCCAATTTTTGCGCATTTTCAACTCTTTTTTCCAAGCACGTGTCTGTGTCTGTGACGCCATGGCCCATGGTCGCTGGCCCGTGGGTGGCTATTGGAGGTACTGGCTACCTTAGACATTGGCAGGCCAAGTAGAACATCAAAAACTTGATTAGTTGGGCGATTAGGGGGGGGGCTGGGTGCTGGGGAAAACTTGTGGCAACAGCTTCTGTCTTTCTCGTCCCCTCCATTCCCGATCGCCTGCACTTACGTTGTCCAACTGGATACATGGCTTTTGCACTAAGTTAGGTTTTTGTTTTTTTTTTAGGAAAGAGAATTAATGTATAAAAGGTTTCCTCGTGTCTCTCCTTGTTTATGTTTCGTGTTTTGGTGTATATATGTAATTGATTGTTGTTTTTGTTTTTGTATTTTTGTGGATGTTTTTGTTGTTGCTTTTGGTTTCTACTAATTATTTTTTATTTAGTTTTGATTTCAGCCTTTTGCTTATCACACTTTAAAGTAGTTTAAAGTTTTATTCGTTTGGTTGATTTTGCATTTTGTTGTTGTTGTTGTTTTTGTTGGTTGGATGTTTGTTGTTGCGCGTGGGCGTGGCGTAGGCGTTATTTATAAATTGGAATAAGCACAGACAAGTGCTCTCTCTCTAGACTTTATTATTGTTATTGTTGTGATTACTCGTTTTTTTTTTTTTTAATTTTTATTTTTTTTTTATTGGAAAAGAACACAAATGTAGGCACAGCTTTCGTTTAATTTATATATATATGTATGTTTATGTACTATACACATATGCGTGTGTACATATGTATATTTATATACTTATATATGTATCTAATGCTCTTGTAATACAACTAAGAAAAAATTCTTCTTTATGCTCGCATATCTCGGTCGCGTGTGTGTGAGTTGAGTTGGTGTGCCTGCGGATGCGTATACGTGTGTGTGTGTCGGTGTTGGTGTCGGTGTGTGAAAAACTGCTGCTCTGGCTGCTCCCGCTCTATACAGCGAGAAAATGCGTTTGTATGCGTTTTATATGGCAGCAAAAATGTGTGCACGTAGAATTCTTGATTTTCGAGACGTGGTTTTTGTGCACCAAACACGTTCGCGCCGCCCGCTTTCACGCACAAACCGTCGCCAGACAACTCAATTTTGATTTTCCACAACTTTTGTTAGCTTTTCACGTCGCGCATTATGCAAAAAGTGCAATTTTCATCAGCTTTTCCAACAGCAGCCACACACTGGTACACTACCACACTTAAATGAGGGCAAAGCACTCTGGCGCGTGCGAGTGAGCGGGACAGCTACATACCACGCTCTTCGCAACCACTAGAGTGGAGGAACATCGATAAAAATATCGAACATGGATGTTTATGGAATTTTCAAAACATACTGTTTTATACTGAAGTGGGATCACTTCTACATGGAGGATCGATTTCAGTAAATGTCATATCATTATTTTATTGTTCTAAGAAACCTAATTTAATTTGCTAAAGAAATTAAAACCAGTTTCAAACTATCGAAACGAGCAAAGATGCATCTCCACACTTAACCACACTTAATGAGGGCAAGCACTTATTGGGGTGGGTGTGAGCGGGACACCTAGAGCAGCTAAGCCCCAACTACCACCACTCTCCTTCCTTATCGATTATTATCGGGTATTTGGCAACTCCAAGCGTGGGTTTACCAACACCGAAAAGGCTAATTCCTCGGGATGGACCCACCAACAGACAGCTGTTAACTCACGTAGCGTGTTACGTGTTTACTTTTTGGCCGCAAGTTTTGCTGCTTTTTACAAAATATAATTTGCAATGTCGGTGCCATTTAGCGGCACATTGCGCCGTTCTGGCGGCATAGTTTCGGCCATCGGCAAGCAGCTGAAGAACGTTAACCTGAAGGGCGTGAAGCGAATCACCGTCCAGTTCGACCCGTTCGCGGAAAACGTCAAGTCCACTCGGTAAGTTATTGGAACAGCGCTTTTCTTTTATCGATTCAGGGACATGCGCAGTTCACTCGATGGGAAAATTTTCTCGAAACTGAACCAAAAGTGCGTAAGCATAAAAGCAAATCGGAGGGAAGGTAATGTACGAAAAACGAAAAACAACAAACCGAAAAGGTGCAGTGAAGTATTGCCTCATGAGGACCTATCTGAGATGAGGTGTGGATGGATGTGTAAACTCACCGTAGACCTTGCCAATGATGCCCACTGCGGAGGTGATCTGCAGATCCGGGAACGTCAGGGGCAACGTGTGCGGGTGGAGCTGAGCTGGCCCCCCGGGAGCCAGCTCGCGCTCCGTAGACATCTTGGTCGGTGTCGGCGTCAGTTTGAGGCTGCTCCGGCGCTACTCCTGCAATAGAATAGAAGCAATAGTCAGAACCATGTTCTAATTGGGTATTTATTTTAGAGAATTCCTGTTCCTGCTTTCCACACCTAAAGTTGCGCAGACGAATCCAAAGTGCGTGGTCAAATCGGACATTGTTTGCGACCGGAAACCAGCCTCGATTAAGTTTTCCCTCATAGATTCTGCACAAGGTGAGGATATACAACTTCTGAACCTCTAACTTCACTAATCAATAAACCCTCTTCCATAGAACAAGCCAAAGTCAAGGAGATTCGCTTCAATAGCGACAATCTGAACACCCTAGAGCTCCTGCAGCTGTGCAACAAACACGTATCATCCTTGGCACCACCCGAGGAAGTGACCAACAAGGTCCTTACCAAGGCGGAGAAACAGAAGCTTGGAGGCGGAGCAGGCGGCGGAAAGAAGGCACCGAAAAAGAAGTAGGATCACGATGGTAAAGAAGAGCAAAGGTACTCTGGCGGTGATCGAGCAGATCTACCAGGATATACCGGCATTTACCGACATTTTCACAGAGGAGAGCTTCTACATGTTCGCCTTTTGCTTCGTGTGCGCCACCTTTCTGGTGGCCTTTATTCTCTCCCGTTTTATCACCATTAAGCCCGTAGACTTTTGAGCCAAATGTTTGTCAAATTCAGCAGACCACGTACATTAACAAAATATATAAGCTTTAACATGTAACACTCTCTGTACTGTGTTGTCTTTTCGGCACGACTGTGCAAAAGGGCACCGTTCAACTTTGGTCCGTCAGCCTGTCGTTGGTGCTGGAAACCAGTTTTCGGTCCCTGGCAAACCGGAAAATCATCTGCTCCTGCTCCGGCTGCTGATGTCAGCAGATGAGAGAGTTGCCTGCAAGCCAGAGCTTATAATCACAATGGGCGGGAGGAGTCGATGATAATTGGACCAGAGGAAGTCGACCAAATGTGCCAGAGATGCCATGCAAAGTGGATGTATGTAGTTGGGGTGGACCTAAGGACTAGACTATCTTTGGTTTGAAAAAGAAATTGTTGAAATGATAACGCCAATAGCTTCCTGGTGAGTTATTTTTCCAGAATCTAGACATTATAGATTCTTATCAGTTTGAAAATTTTAGCTCATTACCGATAAGATTATTATGAAACCATTTTTTGGGTATAAATTCCCTCGAAAATCCCCCTTGAAACCCATCAAAAAGTGCAACAGGCAGGGGAAAGCTCCTCGGAATGCAAGACAGCTGTTTAGAGTTGCTTTTCCCGATTTTCTTCACTCCCACGCAGAAGAAGTAAAATGGGGAAAAAACAAAAAAAAATTTAAGAAAATGCACTCGAAGCTTTGAGCTAAAGTTTTAAAATGGCGCGCGGCAATCGTGGATACATTTGCATATGTGTTGGTGTCTGAGCATGTGTGTGTGTGTATCTGTATCTGTATCTGTTTGCGAAATCGATGAAATTGCTGCAACAACTGCCGAAAATTGCACTCCAGCCAAACAAACTGTTGAAGTGTGGCATCTGGCGACTTTTTGGTGAAAGTTGCAACGGAATAAAAGCTGGTCCAAAACACTGGACACCCTCTCGTTAATATTAATCGAATTTGGAGGAGCCAAGTTCAATGTCAGGAAGAGCTTTCCCCATCCATATTGGCAAGAGTCCTGTCATAAACTTTCCCCACCCACCCGATGTTATGTATTTGAGTTACTTTATAATTGAGGATTGCAAGGGATATCAAAAATTATTTTAAATTTTGTTAATTTTAGTATACTATATATTTTTAAGGATCTTAATAGTAAATAAATCACCTGAGTATTTCACTTTTTCTGTTCATATTTTCAAAACTATTATGTTTTTAATTTAAAATCCTCTTTTAATATTTTTTTTTTGGGTATTTTTCCCCCCAACTATAGTCCTTGGGCATCCTGCTCTTGGCAACCCTATTCCTGACGTAATTCGCGTGGAGAAAGTTGCAATTGAAAGCTAAGGGATGTATTGTCTGTGCTTCGGTGACCTTTCTACCAAAACATAAACACAGACAGTCGGACACCGTGTGATGGTGGTGGTGTTGAAATTTCCCACAGCATATGCTCGGGCGCCATATCTGTTTTGGCTTTTTTCGCTCCTTTTTCGAAGGATTTTTTTTTTTGGGGGGCGGCAGGGTGCCACCATTTTAGATGGGCAGCAGGATTCGGGGGGCGACTACGAAGCTACTGCAGCTGTTCTGGAACACTCGAGGCTGCCTTTTCGGATGCTTCTTCTTGTGCAGCCGGCAAACCTAGAGGGGGTTTCCCCCCACATCGCTTAGGGCACCTTACCCCTCCCACCGTTGTTTACTCACCTTATCGCAGAAGTGCAGCTGACTTTATGGATTCTTTATCAGCGCTATATCAGCGGCAAATCGGGCGTAGTTGTTCGTATTGGTTTATTTTGCGATTTTTTTGAGGGGCACTCATTAATACAGTGTTGGGTTTGCGTCTCCACTAAACCACGGCCCACGGTCTCTGGATAATGGTTCAGTTTTTCTGGCTTTCGGCACTAGTTGTTAATGCACTTGTTTGATTACAGGTAATTTGTTGGGAAAAGACAATTAGAGACGAAGGAAATCGAAAAATGTCGAAACGCAATTTCTTTCGTGGCTGCTGTTGTTGTTGGTGCTGCCAGATCGCCGCACACACGCACACACTCGCACGGAAGCACGCACACCGATGCAGCTCAAAATATGGCAACAAAATTGCAAATTCCGTGAGCTTTTTGTTTATTGTTTATTTGACAACACAATTTGTACTTATTTTACTTAATTTTTTGTATATTTTTTAAGCTGCTTGGGCTCACCGTTCGGGGGTTCGGGGCGCATGTGTTGGTGTGCAAGTGAGTCAAAGTCAAAGGTTGTGTTTCACCTCTCTCTTTCTTTCGCACTCTCGGCGAATTGTTTTTGTTTTTTTTTTTTTGGTTTTTTTGTTTTCTTTGCAATTTGTTATTGCCGCGGCTTTTAACTTTGGAGGGAAAAAGCTTTCCCCGAGCAGTCAGTCATGCATTGGAAAAAAACATACAGACTGCCACAAAAACACACAGCTATAGATGCGTACATATGTATATAGAACCAACACACACACACTCACGCATCCGCCAAATACAAAACATCCGAAGAATTGGCAAACCAAACGCCAAAAATATGACAATTACTGCCAGAGCAGGGCCCTCGAGTCCTGCCACAGAAAGAGATCGCCTGAGATCGTTATGGTTGAGATACAAGCCAAAAAATTGCAAACGCGCGGGCAAAACACAACTTAAAGGCTGGCCGTTTTGGAATTGAATAAAATAAATATTGTTGCCGAGAGTTTCGACCGAAACTTGCCGAGAGAGTTTGCCAATTGGCCGTGTGTGCGTGCTGCTCGTCCGTGTGTGTATCTGTGTGAGTGCTGGCCCGTCCATGGCTGTATCTGTGTGAGATGCGTCGGAGAGCGGCGGCGCCGGAGAGCACCCAAACACAGTGCCTACCAATCGTACTCCGCCGTACGGTGGGGTACGTGTGGGGCGATGGGAAAGTGAACAGAGCCGAGAGCTTTGCGTTAGGGGAACACTGACACCCACACAACGACCTTGGAGAAAATATTACTGCCATTGCTTCCATAAATCAACCAGTTGGGGCTTAACTCTACGGGCTTCTAGGATTCCCCGCCAATTTCTCGAGAAATGAAAGCTATGGAAAAGTTTGATAATGGAGTTCAACTCAAAGGATATTAACATATTCTGATATATATCTGATGATTGTTTTTATATAACTTTCTTTAAATCAAATTCCAAACAAAAAGCTTTCGATTTTGCGTCGTTACTTTTAAAGATATATTTTTTAATTTCAGTAATTTTAAACCAATTGTACCTTTTTCTTAAAAAAGATACTATTTTAACGCATTTTTTAATGCAAATTTGCGAATTTATTTATAATCATATAACACAAACTATTTTAAACCAAAAACGGGGTAATTATTGTCGTTGCACTTGAAAAATCTACTTCTCCTCTTGCTTCTCGGCAGGATCGGTGTTCTCATCCCGAGCAGCGGGGGTCTCAGCTTCAGCTTTCTTATCGGTAGTCTCTGAAGCGGCCAAGGTGGACCCGGCAGGCAGACTCTTCTCCAGAGCACGCACAAAGTCCTCCAGATTGCCGGAATAGGCGGCGGCCACGGCCTCGTTGGAGAGCTCAAACTGCTTGATCACGGGTCCCAGCTGGGCAGATTGGAGGGCGTTGGAGAACTGGGCCAGGGCCTGCTGGAACTGCGGAGAAGTGATGTGATCCTTGATCTGCTGCTTCCGATCCTCATCCGCGTCCTCCGATTCTGGCAGGTGCACAATCAACGACTTGACGCGCTCCGGATCGGCAATGAGAGTGTTGATGGCTTCAGAGCCGGATAGTGCAGTGGATAAGTCGATGTTCAAAGAACGTCCTGCGCCATGTTCGGGGGAGAGATTGGATAAGTAGGCTTGGAATGGATTGGCATAGGCTCCGGTCGCTTCTGACGCCGTTGTGTTCGCTGAGGTTGAGTTCTTACCAGAGGCATCCGCGTCTAGGGACGAGCCAGCACCGCCGGCAGCCTCAGCACCCTGTGCATTGGCATTGTTGCGGCTACTGCCGGACTTGGATCCACGGGATGGGGCAGACGGTGTACGGGGCACAGTCACATTCTCCGGAGTCTGCAAGGCTGAGGCGCCACCTCCAGACGACGAGGTGTTGCGCGACGAGGGCGTACGGGAGCTTTAATTAAAAGAACATGTGTATTTGGGGTTGGGACCGAGGGTGATTATCCAAAATGCTTACTTCATTTGTCCCAGGAGGGAGCTAAGTCCCCCCATTTGACCCACGCCGCCAAAGAGCTGCATCAGCTGCTGCTGGGACATGTTGTTGAGCATGTACTGCAAATCGCCATCGTTGCTGCCGCCCCCTCCGCGCTGGTGAGCTGATGGGGGATTGTTGAGCAGCTCGTTAATACGGCGGCAGTGCTCGTCGTCCTTTTCGATCTTCGGCTCCTGCATCCAGAAGAACATGCGGCGAGTCGAGGACTTGAATTTAAGCACGAAAACTCGACCAGTCTTGCATTGATCAACACGCTTGTACTCAAAGTCGTCGGGAAAGACAATCAGATCGTCCTCCACCTTTCCGGAGGTGCGGTCCTTCCAGCAGAAGTGCATCAAGCCGTCAACGCTCTGAGTCATGTAGACCAATCCCTTGCGCGTATCAGGATGGACCATCTTGCCCACCATATTCATGCGTCCGGCGCGAAACTCCACCAGATTACTGCTGTTGCTGGAATTGCCCAGTCCACTTTGTCTGCCGAACATGATGCGGGAGCTTCGTGAGAGCTGCAAAGGATTAGCTTTAAATGAGGCACAGGATGGGGTAGCGGCGATTATCTTTCCACGGTCCAAAAATACATCGTGGCCTTTACATTTCTTCAGATATACTTACGGGATATATAATGCGTAAAATTTATAGGATTTTTTAACAAACTTTTCCTGACGATTGCCTGCTTTTTATGATGACAAGCAATTTTTATATTCCTCTTCTGACAATAATTTCCAAGTGTTGGAAAACACCAAACAACGACCAACGAAAAATTCTGTTTTCGGTATTTTCCTGGTATCATGATTTCGATATTTTCATCATGTACGTCAAATTAGCGTCGCTCAGTTAGCGTCGAAGTGGAACGGTGGAATTGGAACACAGCAACGAATATTTTGTTTTTCAATTATTTCCGTATTTAGCCACTAAATTTAATCAAATAAACACTAGAATTGTTAAGAATTGAATAAACTATTGTTTTTTCTTACTTTGAGCGGGCTCTTCACTCTTTAAGTAGCTTAAAAATGGGGTTGAAAAATTGCCCCTACACTGTATTGAGCATTATCTCAGAAATAAGAGGATGCGCCAATAAGCGCGATACACCAGCTTATAGCCCATTCTTTTGAGAATATGCCCTGAAAATTTTATTAAAATCGTTCCCTACGTTTTGGAGAAAATCGACTAAAAGTGGACCAACCCGGCTAACAGCCCATACAAAAATGACCCCAAAAAATTGTTTTTAAAATTGTGAAGCTCCAAGAGGATGCGCCAATATGCACGGTAGTGGAGTCGATGTAGGACCTTTTCAAGTATATATGGACCAAAAATCATACAAATCGTTCCCACAGATTTTGAGAAAATCGAATTACAGTTTCCCATATAATTTGAACTAATAAGAGGAGCGCCAACCAGTGAACCGGAACCAGTCCACAAAAAGTTCATTGAACTAGTTTAAAAATACTATATGGCTCTGTTAGACTTATTAAGTCCTTCACAGAGGATGCGCCATTATGCACGGTATACCGTTGAAAAGCTTATTTTATACAGAACATTATAAGACAACTTTTATTTAAATCGCTCCCACAGATTTAAAGAAATCAAGTCCCGAAAATTTCAGACCCTGATTCACCAACACTGGCCATTAACAGCATCACATATTTCTGCGCTGCCTAACACGGCGCTAGCCGTTATGGAATTTGAATGCCCCCTAGCTTTTTTTAAAGAGGATGCGCCATTATGCACGGTATACCACGAGAAAGCTAATTTTTAGCCCGTTCGAATGATACCAGTGCCATTAAAATCCTTCCCACAGATTTTTAGGAATCAAGTCCCGAAATTTTCGGGACCTGGTTTGCCAATACTGGCCATTATCATTTTTCCGTGTTTGCACGCTGCACAACACGGCAGCCGCCATTATGTATGTTTGCCTTTTTTTAAAGAGGATGCGCCATTATGCACGGTATACCACGAGAAAGCTAATTTTTAGCCCGTTCGAATGGTACCAGTGCCATTAAAATCCTTCCCACAGATTTTTAGGAATCAAGTCCCGAAATTTTCGGGACCTGGTTTGCCAATACTGGCCATTATCATTTTTCCGTGTTTGCACGCTGCACAAAACGGCAGCCGCCATTATGTATGTTTGCCTTTTTTTAAAGAGGATGCGCCATTATGCACGGTATACCACGAGAAAGCTAATTTTTAGCCCGTTCGAATGGTACCAGTGCCATTAAAATCCTTCCCACAGATTTTTAGGAATCAAGTCCCGAAATTTTCGGGACCTGGTTTGCCAATACTGGCCATTATCATTTTTCCGTGTTTGCACGCTGCACAACACGGCAGCCGCCATTATGTATGTTTGCCTTTTTTTAAAGAGGATGCGCCATTATGCACGGTATACCACGAGAAAGCTAATTTTTAGCCCGTTCGAATGGTACCAGTGCCATTAAAATCCTTCCCACAGATTTTTAGGAATCAAGTCCCGAAATTTTCGGGACCTGGTTTGCCAATACTGGCCATTATCATTTTTCCGTGTTTGCACGCTGCACAACACGGCAGCCGCCATTATGTATGTTTGCCTTTTTTTTAAAGAGGATGCGCCATTATGCACGGTATACCACGAGAAAGCTAATTTTTAGCCCGTTCGAATGGTACCAGTGCCATTAAAATCCTTCCCACAGATTTTTAGGAATCAAGTCCCGAAATTTTCGGGACCTGGTTTGCCAATACTGGCCATTATCATTTTTCCGTGTTTGCACGCTGCACAACACGGCAGCCGCCATTATGTATGTTTGCCTTTTTTAAAGAGGATGCGCCATTATGCACGGTATACCACGAGAAAGCTAATTTTTAGCCCGTTCGAATGGTACCAGTGCCATTAAAATCCTTCCCACAGATTTTTAGGAATCAAGTCCCGAAATTTTCGGGACCTGGTTTGCCAATACTGGCCATTATCATTTTCCGTGTTTGCACGCTGCACAACACGGCAGCCGCCATTATGTATGTTTGCCTTTTTTTAAAGAGGATGCGCCATTATGCACGGTATACCACGAGAAAGCTAATTTTTAGCCCGTTCGAATGGTACCAGTGCCATTAAAATCCTTCCCACAGATTTTTAGGAATCAAGTCCCGAAATTTTCGGGACCTGGTTTGCCAATACTGGCCATTATCATTTTTCCGTGTTTGCACGCTGCACAACACGGCAGCCGCCATTATGTATGTTTGCCTTTTTTTAAAGAGGATGCGCCATTATGCACGGTATACCACGAGAAAGCTAATTTTTAGCCCGTTCGAATGGTACCAGTGCCATTAAAATCCTTCCCACAGATTTTTAGGAATCAAGTCCCGAAATTTTCGGGACCTGGTTTGTCCAATACTGGCCATTATCATTTTCCGTGTTTGCACGCTGCACAACACGGCAGCCGCCATTATGTATGTTTGCCTTTTTTAAAGAGGATGCGCCATTATGCACGGTATACCACGAGAAAGCTAATTTTTAGCCCGTTCGATATGGTACCAGTGCCATTAAAATCCTTCCCACAGATTTTTAGGAATCAAGTCCCGAAATGCATGGGACCTGGTTTCCAATACTGGCCATTATCATTTTTCCGGGTTTTGACGCTGAAAACACATGGCAGCATGCATACATATAGTAGTTTTTTATATGTTGTATGTATGTATGTATTGCCTTTTTTAAAGAGGATGGCGCCAAAAGTGTTGGGCACGGTCATACCACGGGAAACTAATTTAATGGCCCGTTCGAATGGTACCAGTGCCATTAAAATCCTTCCCACGGATTTTTAGGAATCAAGTCCCAAAAATTTGGGAAGGACCTGGTTTACCAATCGAACGGGCTAACATTATCTTTTTCCGTGGTTTGCACGCTGCACAACACGGCAGCCGCCATTATGTATGTTTGCCTTTTTTAAAGAGGATGCGCCATTATGCACGGTATACCGCGAGAAAGCTAATTTTTAGCCCGTTGTCGCAGGGTACCAGAGCCATTAAAATCCTATCCCCAGATTTTTAGGAATCAGGTCCCGAAATTTTCGGGACCTGATTCCTAAAATGGCATTATCTTTGGGAAGGATTTTAATGGCACTGGCCCAACTCGAATTGGCGCCATTAAAAATTAGCTTTCTCGTGGTATACCATGCATAATGGCGCATCCTCTTTAAAAAAGGCAAACATACATAATGGCGGCTGCCGTGTTGTGCAGCGTGCAAACACGGAAAAATGATAATGGCCAGTATTGGCAAACCAGGTCCCGAAAATTTCGGGACTTGATTCCTAAAAATCTGTGGGAAGGATTTTAATGGCACTGGTACCATTCGAACGGGCTAAAAATTAGCTTTCTCGTGGTATACCGTGCATAATGGCGCATCCTCTTTAAAAAAGGCAAACATACATAATGGCGGCTGCCGTGTTGTGCAGCGTGCAAACACGGAAAATGATAATGGCCAGTATTGGCAAACCAGGTCCCGAAAATTTCGGGACTTGATTCCTAAAAATCTGTGGGAAGGATTTTAATGGCACTGGTACCATTCGAACGGGCTAAAAATTAGCTTTCTCGTGGTATACCGTGCATAATGGCGCATCCTCTTTAAAAAAAAGGCAAACATACATAATGGCGGCTGCCGTGTTGTGCAGCGTGCAAACACGGAAAAATGATAATGGCCAGTATTGGTAAACCAGGTCCCGAAAATTTCGGGACTTGATTCCTAAAAATCTGTGGGAAGGATTTTAATGGCACTGGTACCATTCGAACGGGCTAAAAATTAGCTTTCTCGTGGTATACCGTGCATAATGGCGCATCCTCTTTAAAAAAAGGCAAACATACATAATGGCGGCTGCCGTGTTGTGCAGCGTGCAAACACGGAAAAATGATAATGGCCAGTATTGGCAAACCAGGTCCCGAAAATTTCGGGACTTGATTCCTAAAAATCTGTGGGAAGGATTTTAATGGCACTGGTACCATTCGAACGGGCTAAAAATTAGCTTTCTCGTGGTATACCGTGCATAATGGCGCATCCTCTTTAAAAAAAAGGCAAACATACATAATGGCGGCTGCCGTGTTGTGCAGCGTGCAAACACGGAAAAATGATAATGGCCAGTATTGGCAAACCAGGTCCCGAAAATTTCGGGACTTGATTCCTAAAAATCTGTGGGAAGGATTTTAATGGCACTGGTACCATTCGAACGGGCTAAAAATTAGCTTTCTCGTGGTATACCGTGCATAATGGCGCATCCTCTTTAAAAAAAGGCAAACATACATAATGGCGGCTGCCGTGTTGTGCAGCGTCAAAACCCGGAAAAATGATAATGGCCAGTATTGGCAAACCAGGTCCCGAAAATTTCGGGACTTGATTCCTAAAAATCTGTGGGAAGGATTTTAATGGCACTGGTACCATTCGAACGGGCTAAAAATTAGCTTTCTCGTGGTATACCGTGCATAATGGCGCATCCTCTTTAAAAAAAGGCAAACATACATAATGGCGGCTGCCGTGTTGTGCAGCGTGCAAACACGGAAAAATGATAATGGCCAGTATTGGCAAACCAGGTCCCGAAAATTTCGGGACTTGATTCCTAAAAATCTGTGGGAAGGATTTTAATGGCACTGGTACCATTCGAACGGGCTAAAAATTAGCTTTCTCGTGGTATACCGTGCATAATGGCGCATCCTCTTTAAAAAAAGGCAAACATACATAATGGCGGCTGCCGTGTTGTGCAGCGTGCAAACACGGAAAAATGATAATGGCCAGTATTGGCAAACCAGGTCCCGAAAATTTCGGGACTTGATTCCTAAAAATCTGTGGGAAGGATTTTAATGGCACTGGTACCATTCGAACGGGCTAAAAATTAGCTTTCTCGTGGTATACCGTGCATAATGGCGCATCCTCTTTAAAAAAAGGCAAACATACATAATGGCGGCTGCCGTGTTGTGCAGCGTGCAAACACGGAAAAATGATAATGGCCAGTATTGGCAAACCAGGTCCCGAAAATTTCGGGACTTGATTCCTAAAAATCTGTGGGAAGGATTTTAATGGCACTGGTACCATTCGAACGGGCTAAAAATTAGCTTTCTCGTGGTATACCGTGCATAATGGCGCATCCTCTTTAAAAAAAGGCAAACATACATAATGGCGGCTGCCGTGTTGTGCAGCGTGCAAACACGGAAAAATGATAATGGCCAGTATTGGCAAACCAGGTCCCGAAAATTTCGGGACTTGATTCCTAAAAATCTGTGGGAAGGATTTTAATGGCACTGGTACCATTCGAACGGGCTAAAAATTAGCTTTCTCGTGGTATACCGTGCATAATGGCGCATCCTCTTTAAAAAAGGCAAACATACATAATGGCGGCTGCCGTGTTGTGCAGCGTGCAAACACGGAAAAATGATAATGGCCAGTATTGGCAAACCAGGTCCCGAAAATTTCGGGACTTGATTCCTAAAAATCTGTGGGAAGGATTTTAATGGCACTGGTACCATTCGAACGGGCTAAAAATTAGCTTTCTCGTGGTATACCGTGCATAATGGCGCATCCTCTTTAAAAAAGGCAAACATACATAATGGCGGCTGCCGTTTTGTGCAGCGTGCAAACACGGAAAAATGATAATGGCCAGTATTGGCAAACCAGGTCCCGAAAATTTCGGGACTTGATTCCTAAAAATCTGTGGGAAGGATTTTAATGGCACTGGTATCATTCGAACGGGCTAAAAATTAGCTTTCTCGTGGTATACCGTGCATAATGGCGCATCCTCTTTAAAAAAGGCAAACATACATAATGGCGGCTGCCGTGTTGTGCAGCGTGCAAACACGGAAAAATGATAATGGCCAGTATTGGCAAACCAGGTCCCGAAAATTTCGGGACTTGATTCCTAAAAATCTGTGGGAAGGATTTTAATGGCACTGGTATCATTCGAACGGGCTAAAAATTAGCTTTCTCGTGGTATACCGTGCATAATGGCGCATCCTCTTTAAAAAAAGCTAGGGGGGCATTCAAATTCCATAACGGCTAGCGCCGTGTTAGGCAGCGCAGAAATATGTGATGCTGTTAATGGCCAGTGTTGGTGAATCAGGGTCTGAAATTTTCGGGACTTGATTTCTTTAAATCTGTGGGAGCGATTTAAATAAAAGTTGTCTTATAATGTTCTGTATAAAATAAGCTTTTCAACGGTATACCGTGCATAATGGCGCATCCTCTGTGAAGGACTTAATAAGTCTAATAGAGCCATATAGTATTTTTAAACTAGTTCAATGAACTTTTTGTGGACTGGTTCCGGTTCACTGGTTGGCGCTCCTCTTATTAGTTCAAATTATATGGGAAACTGTAATTCGATTTTCTCAAAATCTGTGGGAACGATTTGTATGATTTTTGGTCCATATATACTTGAAAAGGTCCTACATCGACTCCACTACCGTGCATATTGGCGCATCCTCTTGGAGCTTCACAATTTTAAAAACAATTTTTTGGGGTCATTTTTGTATGGGCTGTTAGCCGGGTTGGTCCACTTTTAGTCGATTTTCTCCAAAACGTAGGGAACGATTTTAATAAAATTTTCAGGGCATATTCTCAAAAGAATGGGCTATAAGCTGGTGTATCGCGCTTATTGGCGCATCCTCTTATTTCTGAGATAATGCTCAATACAGTGTAGGGGCAATTTTTCAACCCCATTTTTAAGCTTTTTAAAGAGTGAAGAGCCCGCTCAAAGTAAGAAAAAACAATAGTTTATTCAATTCTTAACAATTCTAGTGTTTATTTGATTAAATTTAGTGGCTAAATACGGAAATAATTGAAAAACAAAATATTCGTTGCTGTGTTCCAATTCCACCGTTCCACTTCGACGCTAACTGAGCGACGCTAATTTGACGTACATATTTTCATCAAAATGTAAAAAAAGACATGATTTGAAAAAAAATCGTTGAACTAGAAAGAGAAAAATTAAAAAATAAGTTTTATTGTTAAATAAATGTAAATAAAAATGGGTTGGAATGTATTTATGTGGTTATAGTTTTTTATTATTTACAATTTGAATTTTTTGTTCGTGTTTAACCTTTTGAAACTAATTTTTCAGGTCCAGGTAATTATTGTTGAAAATCGCAAATAAAATTAAAATGAAAATGATAAATCTAATTTAAAATCTATTTTTTTTTAAGTGTTTATGTCGAATCGTCACTTCTATTCGTTTTTAGAACATTCTGGTATTATCCAGCCGCCACTTTACGGTCACACAGCGAAGTTTCTTTGGAATTAATCTTGGCGATGTATTTATTCAACAGCGAATAGTCCACCAGACCATAACTGAATTACGCCTCAACAATTAGATCTGCTTACATTGCACTTTTGAGCAACTGAGCCAGAATAAAGTTTTATTATTGTGCTAAGATCAGTGAATTTCCTGCATTTCCTGCTGCGCAGTTCTGAGTGGTAAGTGGCTTCCCCGATGCAGTTCCTAGAACGCAAAATAAATATTCCTGCCCTGCATTAACCGAGAGTAAATGTTTAGACTTGTTGATTGTTTATTCTAATTGCGTCATGCCTTTGTTTTTTAATTAATGTTCACAAATAATTTAGATAAAGGCTTTTATTTTCGTGGCGTTCGACATTTCTCCAACGCCTCTCTTTGTTTAGATATTTTTTATTGCTTAGGCGGCCATTTCTCTAGCACTCTTTGTGACCCATTTCCAGGCCTCCCGTCTACTTTATCTCTAGCCTCACCTGCCAGTCCGTCCACATATACCCTATTCCCTGTATAGATGAATCACCTTGAATTTCAAAACCCGTTTTCGCCCTCGAACTTGGCACAAATCGTTCGTATATCTATCTACTGTGTATTTCTGCAGCAGCAGTTATAATCAACAACTACACACATTATCATCAAATGCCCCTCACGTTTCAAAATGGGCGAAAAGTAACGCAAAAGCCATGGCAGCCAACTAACATGGCAGACGCGACCCGCCGAAGACGGAATCGAAAGAGGAATGGCCGATAAGATAACGCATCTGCCGATTTTGAAAACAAACAGCTAAAAAAGAAATCACAAAGAATACAATTAACGCCTTCAGTTAGTCAGACGCGGTAGAAATTATCATCTAAGTAAGGCTCTACTAGATAGGGCCTTAAAAACCAGATGTTTACAATTTATTCAATATATTAGTCAGGTGTTTCAAATTTATTCATTATTTTAGTCATTACATATTGTGATTTATTAATTATCTATCGATTACAGAAACCACAAAATGCGCACAGCTTTCGTACTGCCCCTTCTGGCCCTGCTGGCGGTGGCCCAGGCCGTCTCCTTCGCCGATGTCGTCAAGGAGGAATGGCACACGTTCAAGGTGAGTCCCTGCTCCCAATTCCTCCCACTTTGTCACCTAGGAAACCAGAGTCGAGCCAGTGTTCTCCGGTGACAAGTGCAACCCACTTAACCGATGATTAATCCATTATTTTTGGGCCTTTGTCTTGCGCAGACATTGTTATTGTTTGCATAGTTGGGCTTCGTGCATTCTTCCGTTTGTGACGCCGCCGATTCCCTTCCCTGCTGACTCACGAGTGAATGCACTGCGGATGCACTGCAACAGTAGGAGGCTTCCCGATAAGTCTAGGCTTCGGAGTCAGTCACATGCCGGCTCACATGACGAGCGTCCGCGCTTAGCCCGTCCGTAAACATCATTGAATGGTCACCCGCTCTGCCCGTTTCGGGTCACAGTCGCTGATAAGAGGCCGCCAGTGCTGTGCAAGACTGGACTTCAGAGCTGGCGAACCGCCAGTGATAAGCCCCGACTTGTACCACTTTTGCAATTCTACGTTTCCTAATCGTCATGTGCTTCAAGCCGACTTTGGCTTATGCCCTAGATATTTTTCTGCCATGAATCAATACTTTGGATTGCGCTGTTCTTTGTCTCCGCAGTGACATGCAATTGTTATTAGGTTTTCCGATTGGGGTCTATATATTTCTTATCACTGCTATGGTAGTGGCATCGTGTTTTTTGTATTTAGTGGCGTGCCAAGCACCATTAGCCACGTATGGGGGCGTACATTTTGGGATTTTTGTGCAGATCTGTGGTTGATAAAACTTTCATACAATGGAACTTGTTTAATTCCCCTGAACATCGGGTTTATCTTGGGTTTTTTTTTTTTTTTGAAGATGAAACAGTTTGTGGGTAAGTGAATAAGCCCGCATTACTTCCTATATCTCTAATGAGGGATTAACATCCGCTTAAATGAATAATTTCAAAGAAATAGAAGAATTCTCCACATTACTTCCGATAGAGATAAAATATTAATGGCTCCTAACTCTTAAAATATTTTCATATTGTGTTGCTGATTATAGAATTGTGTGGCTGATATATTTTTAAGTTTAAAGTTTATTTAATTTAAAAACCCCCAATGAGCTAAAAACCCAAACTTTTGAAATATAACGTAGTGTATTTTACATGCGTAATTTGACATGTAAAATACTTTGGTACTAAAGTACTTTGGTCACACCAAAAAAGTGCTGCCCATTCTGTAGAAAGTGAAGCCGCGCGATTCAAAATAACAACTTGTTTACCTTCCGAGTCGAGTTCGTCTGGAGCAAGCGCAAAACTATAAATCTTAATCTCTTTAAAGTCTCGAGAGAGTTCAAAGTGCCACAATCTGCGGTTGCATATTAGCAGCTGCAAATGTAGCTGTCAAGTAGCTGTATTTCCCTACTGATAAGCACTTATATCAATATAAATGCGTTTCCACTGGACTGCCTTAAATAAACAAACCAACGTACGATGTGAAAAATAGAAATAATGATACTAAACAACGGGCGAGGGGGTCGAGCATTTTAGAAGTGACGCGTGACGAATCACTTAGCTTATCAAATTGCCATTTGAATTTGGCGTATGAGCGCCGACCAGCTCATTTTTGTGTGTTTTTTCCCCCTTTGTTTGTTCAATACAAGTGCCGAACATCGCTGAAGAATGAATTTTTGAAATACAAACAAGTGGCTGGGCTGGGAAATATTCGGCTGACTTGCAAAACCTGAGGATTCTGATACCGCCTTCTCGTTTTTGCGATTTCTCCATTTTTCTTGCTATGCGAACCGGTTGGAAACATTTGAATACATTGCCCGAAATCCTTATAAATCATTGGTCTCCAAACGAAACCGGTTGCCTATGAACTGCCTGTTCCATAATGCGCACAATGCAAATAAATAAAAATAAAGAAAAAGACCAAGAAACAAGAAATATATAGAGTAGTACGCGCTTCCTCCAAATAGTTCGCCTACATGGGTTGCTCTCGGTGCCGCCGGTGCCGGATCGTCGGAGAGATTCGGGTGAGTTCGGGCGAGCACCACCACCACCACCACCACCGAAAGCGGGCCTGTCTGTGTTTCGGTGGCTTATTTTTCTCTCGACGCTCAAGGCAGGCGGTGGTCGATACGCAAAAGTAAAAATACGCGGAGGGAGCAGCGCCACATATCGCTGCCAGAGAAAAAAAAAAAGAAATAAAAGGAGCGCCCCCCGAAACGCCGAGTTCTTGGTAAAGAAAAGCACGCGCGTCATCGAAAAAACGTGCTACATAGCCCCCCCCAGCCGGGCCGATATCCAACCGAAAGCGGGAAAATTACATAAAAAGGAGCATGGCCGATCCGAATAGCCTGAATGTGACCGTGGACGTGGTGTTCCCCACCGCCATCGTCCTGGCCATGCTGGTAATCAACGGATTCATCTTCGCCTTCATCATGAAGAAGCGACGAGCCTACCAGAACCTCAAAGCCGTCAAGGAGCAGCAGCGAACGTCCTACGCCGCCACCGGCAGCCAAGTGGTAGCAGCGCCCCAGGCGGAGACGGAGGACGACTGTGCCATCGAAATGGAGCGTCTGTAGCCGGAGCTGGATCGGGAGAAGCCGAGTCTCCAAGTCCTAGATACTCAACCTCGTCCAAGCTCAAGCAAAGGCAACGAATTTTCCTAACTGAAACTAGCTAATAATTCATAAAGTGCAAGATTTATTGCTCTCTGGATGCCAAGAAGAGTCGCGTCTAACTATAAAGTATATTTATACATAATTGTATACGTCGAGAGTGCCTAGACTGCACGTGCATTTAATTACTGTTTTTAAGCTGTTAATTATATATCACAATATTCATTTTTTCTACAAAAAAAAAAACCCACTAAAATGTCTACAATAAAACGTGTGAATTCTATCATGTCCCATCAACAAAGTCGAGTTGGAAGAAAAATCAATAGGTCATTGGTGCAGACTTCAGAGGTTTCTCCGTCCATCGGGCATCATGATATGCTGCCATGCCAGTCTTGAATTCGAATCAATTATGTCAATTATATGAGTGGACCCCAATCCCCATCCGGTCGCCGTTTGGGGCGACAATTGTTGCTCTGTTCTGCTCTGTTCGGCCCTGATGTCCAAAATAATTACATATGCATGTTTCTCACATGACTGGGTTCATTGGGAGGTCTCGAAATACATACATTGATTGAAAAAATACACCCCTCAGAATATCAATGGATATCACCCGGGTCGCATACCTCGCCGGCATACCTCCGATTCTCTTTATAGCCATCATTTGTTTAGCGTTCGTGCTATTTCCGTAGCAAGTCAATATGCGGGCCAAACAAACAACCCCGACTCCGACACACTGCATTCTAATCCGGGTCAGAGATACAAATGCAGCGATGGAATATTTCCTGGTAGGAGACGGTAACTACCTGGAAAACCATCACCTTTGCGCCCAGCTATTGCCCAATAGTTGTGGAAATAGTTGAACCATTTTATGGCCAAGTTACGAGCTGTTTTATGGTCTTGGCTACCGTGACCAGAGAGAGAGCTGGCATAGCTCGTGCCAGGTTGGACAGTGATAAGGTTATCTCCACTTTGAGAACTTTTGATTGAGGTGTGATCGTAAATCTCTGGTTTACGTAAGCAGTCTTTAGATTTCCCAAAAAATGTTGATAGTTGGAATGCATTTGAATGTTAACCTGCCACTTGTTGGGTGGTATCTAATCGAGGGTAATGGTCGTTCCATAGATAAGAGCACCCAAAAGTCCAGATAAGAGCGTGTGCAAGGTAAATAAGCTACTATTCTTTGTCAACAGCTCGAACACCGCAAGAACTACCAGGACGAGACCGAGGAGCGCTTCCGGCTGAAGATCTTCAACGAGAACAAGCACAAGATCGCCAAGCACAACCAGCTATGGGCCTCTGGAAAGGTCAGCTACAAGCTGGCTGTCAACAAGTACGCCGACATGCTGCACCACGAATTCCGCCAGACGATGAACGGATTCAACTACACGCTGCACAAGCAGCTGCGGTAAGGAATAGTTCTATAAATAATCCCAAAAGATCGTGTAAATCCTAAGAGAGATCGTACTAATTATGCACTCTTTTCAGTGCTGCCGATGAGTCCTTCAAGGGTGTGACCTTCATCTCCCCGGAGCATGTGACCCTGCCCAAGACTGTTGACTGGCGCGACAAGGGCGCTGTGACCGGCGTCAAGGACCAGGGACACTGCGGCAGCTGCTGGGCCTTCTCCAGCACTGGCGCCGTCGAGGGACAGCACTACCGCAAGTCCGGCACGTTGGTCTCCCTGTCCGAGCAGAACCTGGTCGATTGCTCCACCAAGTACGGCAACAACGGTTGCAACGGCGGTCTCATGGACAACGCCTTCCGGTACATCAAGGACAACGGCGGCATTGACACCGAGAAGTCCTATCCCTATGAGGCCATTGACGATTCCTGCCACTTCAGCAAGGACTCCATCGGAGCCACCGACCGCGGATTCGTCGATATTCCCCAGGGCAACGAGAAGAAGCTGGCCGAGGCTGTGGCCACCATTGGACCCGTTTCCGTTGCCATCGACGCCTCCCACGAGTCCTTCCAGTTCTACTCGGAGGGTGTCTACGTTGAGCCTGCCTGCGATGCCGAGAACCTCGATCACGGTGTGCTGGTTGTTGGCTTTGGCACCGACGAGTCCGGCCAGGACTACTGGCTGGTGAAGAACTCCTGGGGCACCACCTGGGGCGACAAGGGCTTCATCAAGATGCTGCGCAACAAGGACAACCAGTGCGGCATCGCCAGCGCCTCCAGCTACCCCCTGGTCTAGTCCAGAACTGATTTCCGATGTATTTTAGCCACATAGCCCTCAAAAGATACAAACAAGCATCTCAAATGGAACTTTAATAATTTAGCCAAACATTTATTTTACTTTTGGATTCCGATACTTTCATTTATATCTCTGCCATCACATACAACATTAAGAGAACTACTGTGTTGATGTTTGTAGAAAAATAAATAAAAATATAAAAAGATTTTTAATTTTTCAAGAATTTTATTAGAGAGTGGCAGGAAATCCCTCTACAAAGTATTGATATTATTGATATTAGGTTTAGGATGGAAATTGGCAAAGATTTGAGGTTTTTTTTGTGTAATTTAATGTGTATCCTTGATTTTAAAAGGATGAAACCACAAAAAATTATAAAAATCTATCAAAAATATTGTTATCCCGGTTTCATGGTTTTAAAGTAGATAAAGATACAAAATCTTTCTGAAATATGACTAGATAATTTTTTTTTTAAACTCTTCATTTATTTACAATCTGTTTTTATAAACAATAAGTAAATTTTATAATTAATATTAAATAACAGGAATAGCAGTTTTCCAGTGAACCCTGCTATTATATACAACATCGTTTCTGTTAATTGAATTTATCTATCTGGAAGATCTAGTATGTGGTATCTTTTTAGTCTTCTTAATGATAAGCTGTAACTAGATAATTGTCAAATAAACATTGTATCTTTTGTGGCTAAGATATTTTACCCCCCTATTCGCAGGGGGTCATATTTTCCATTTAATAAATTTTTAAAAAGGACCCTCAAAACAAGCAGTTTTTTAAAGTTCAAGCAGTTTTATGCATGCCTTTAGCAAATACACAAACCCTTAAAAAATACTTGCTAATATTATACCGACTATTTATTTTGGTATTTCTTGTAGTTAAGAACCTAAGCACACTTCTTGGATTGCTCAACAGCTGTTTTGTGTTATAATATGAAAAAAATATTATTCTAGTCGAGCCATCAGTTAAAATGCTTCTGACACTTCGCGTCCAGGGGACGAGGCATTGCCTTCCTGCCTGCGCCAACGGGTTTCGCTTCCTGGCCAGCAGTGCCGCCCCGGAGAAGTCGGAGAAGGTGCCCCCAGCCCCCGCGCAATCGCAGCTGGAGGTCAACGGGAGCACGTACGCCACCGATGGCTGGACTAATGTCACGCCCAAAATCCTATCCTACCTAGGAGCCAACAAACATCTGCAAACAGATCACCCATTGTCCATCATCCGCCAGCGCATTGTTAACTATTTTTACGGAGCGTATCGCAACCAGCGCGGGAATCCCCTGTTCTCCGTCTACGACAAACTAAATCCAGTGGTCACTGTGCAGCAGAACTTTGACAACCTTCTGATTCCCGCGGACCATGTCAGCCGCCAGAAGTCGGACTGCTACTATGTCAACGAGCAACATTTGCTGCGGGCCCACACCACTGCCCATCAGGTTGAGTTGATCTCCGGTGGACTGGACAACTTCCTGGTGGTGGGCGAGGTCTATCGTCGCGACGAGATCGACAGCACCCACTACCCCGTGTTCCACCAGGCCGACGCCGTACGTCTGGTGACTAAAGACAAGCTTTTTGAGCGCAATCCCGGCCTGGAACTGTTTGAGGAGACGTGGTCGGGTCAGCTGGCTGATCCCAAGCTCATCCTACCCTCCTCCAAGTTTATGGACCAGACCAAGCAGCCGTGCCATACGCTAGAGGCTGTTAAGCTTATGGAGCACGAGATGAAGCACGTGTTGGTGGGCCTGACAAAGGATCTCTTTGGTCCGCGCATCAAGTACCGCTGGGTGGACACGTACTTCCCCTTCACACAGCCATCGTGGGAGCTGGAGATCTACTTCAAGGACAACTGGCTGGAGGTTCTCGGCTGCGGCATTATGCGGCACGAGATTCTCCAGAAGGCCGGAGTCCATCAGTCGATTGGATACGCTTTTGGTGTGGGGCTGGAGCGTCTGGCCATGGTTCTGTTCGATATTCCCGACATCCGCCTGTTCTGGTCGAACGACAGCGGCTTCCTGTCCCAGTTTAGCGAAAAGGACCTGCACAACCTGCCAAAGTACAAACCCATTTCCCACTATCCGCAGTGCACGAACGACTTGTCGTTTTGGCTGCCGGAGAACGTGGAGGTGGACGCCGGATTCTCGCCCAACGACTTCTACGACCTGGTGCGCTCTCTCGCTGGGGATATGGTGGAGCAGGTCAGTCAGTGCTTGCTTCAATATTTTATTTATTTAAAGGTGTTTCCTAATCCCATTACAGATCAGCCTGGTGGACAAGTTCAAGCACCCGAAGACGGGCCGGACCAGCTTGTGCTTCCGCATCGTTTACCGTCACATGGAGCGCACTCTCACCCAGGCGGAGGTCAACGAAGTCCACAAGCACATCGCCAGTGCCAGTGTGGATAGTTTTAATGTGCAAATACGTTAGTCCTAATTGTTCCAATTCAAACCAAAAAACTCCGAGTAAATTAGCCATCATTGTCAGGAAGTCTATATGGTCTTGAAGCATTTCACATTCTGTTCCACCCACTCGTTGGCGCTCTGGAAGAGCTTGGGGTTGTCCACGAATTCCTGCTGAGGCTGACTGGCGGCTTTCCCGCCACTCCTCACGAATCCCGCCTCCCCCTTGTTGAGGATTCCGACGGAGGCCATTTCGTGCATGTTTACGGATTTGTTTTCGCGGAAACTTTTGATACTCAAATGGTCCAGGAGCTTGCTTAAGTCCTCTGGCTTGGGCGGGCATTCCAAGAACTCGGCAATACTGTGAACTGCTCCTGGCAGATCCACCAGCATGTCTTCGTAGCGCAGGAAGAGCACGTTGGGCAGGTGAGCATGTTGACGAGCCTCCCTAACGTGACTATAGTAAGGCAGCCAAGGATCTGCGGGATAGGATAGTGGGATTTATTTATGGTTTCTCATGGCATGGAGTACTTACTTAACCCCTGCTGAAAGTAGCGCCAGTAACGCTCGAAATCTCCCACATAGCCCTGGGTGCGGAAGAGTCTGTTCAGATGGTAATACGAAACAGCCACATCCTTGGGATCGCGTACCACATAAATTATCTGAAAGTTAACAACTTTTATATATATTTTTTTAATTTTTAGGGAAAATATTTGTTACCTTGCATTTATTTTCCAAAACACTGGGCGGCAGTAAAGAAAATGGAAAATGGGTTTTTATAAAACGGCGCTGGGTGCGAGGTACTTCACTTAAAGCCTCATAACCAGGCCGGGAAATCTTTTCAATGAACTCCAAAGCACCAGTCGAGTTCTTGTTCATCTCCTGCAGTTCCTCCTTAATCTTGGGATGCATAAATACTGGAAACCTATCAATAGATTGATGAAGTATTATTTTATAATAATTATAAAGTTGATTTCATGGTAGACTCACTCAAAGAATGGAAAGCGTTCGGTTAGCGGTCTTTTTTGTGCCTCCTCGAAGTCCAGCTTATTGGCCAACAACCATATCAACTCCTGCGTCCAAGTGGTGCCCGATCTGGGCACTGTGGCTATCCAAACATCATCGGGACGAGCCTCAAAGTTGTAATATCGCTCAGCCTCATCCTTGAATTTGTGCGGGAAGAAGTATCCCTCGGGTCCGACCTGGACGAAGCCAGTTTTTTCACCTGGAGGATAAGGATAAGTTGCCATGTCATAGATACTCTTTGAAGGGATAACCAACCGTGGAAATATTCCATCAGTTCCGCGTTGGTGGACGCCTCCACATCGCGAATTTCGTGGGGAAATTTAAGAGGCGACTTTTCCATTGCTTGCTCGACCAGTTGCCAGAGTTGACTGTGGATCTCGGCTACGTGAAAACGTCTTGACCCCGCTTTCGGGCAGCAGAGAAAGTGGTATTTGCTGGCTGGGCTAGTCAGCCATTCCCTCCACTGCTTGGCTAAGCGCAATTTGAATAAGACTTTGTACTTGCTGCCTTAATTTTATGTACTGGTTGGGCCAGTTATGCAAGCCCACTGACGCATTCACAGAAGTTGTGGCGGCTAAGGGCTTCTGATTTGTTTTCCACTTGTCTCTTAATAAGGGGTGTGCCAGGGGGGGGGCTATAAATAAAATGGAATAATATTATAAAGCTTCCATTGGAGTCTATATAATTTACATTCTTGTCATTCTTGAGGAAAAGATTTTTTAACTTTTTTAACAAGAATTTAAATCAGCTTTCAGAAAGGGTATTTTTATTCATACATTTCAAACTTCCATTTCATTTTTATTTGTACTCGGTATTAGTAGAGAACATGGTACTAGCAGAATTTATATATTTAAGAACAAAAAAAAAAGTATCTCCAAGTTAATCTTCAATCATTATACCCTTGCGGAAAAAACTATAGATTTGCTTAAAAATGTGCATCGCAAGGAAGGAGACATCTCAGACCCTATAAAGTATAAATTTTCTTTATCTGGGTGTCTACACGAACTAATATCTTTGAAGATATTGGCTAACTTTTCACACAAACTTCTCTCCATTGCACGCAGTATGTAAGTCGGAACGGACGGGATCAGCCGACTATATCCTTTACCTGATATGTAACTGATTGATTGGAAATGCCATACTTTTGGTTTTTCTAGATAAAGTTGAAATTTTCCATGAATTTTACTAATTTACTTATTTATACGACCTACCAAATTTTATTAGGATCAGCTGCCTATATCCTACAGCAGCCATATAAATGTGCGATCGAAATTGAATTCGATCTACCAAATTTCATACAGATTTTATAAAGATCAAGCGAATTTATCCTATAGCTGCCATAAGTTTGGTATTTTTTGAAGATAGAAGCTTGTGACTTAAATTTTGTACTATAAGAAATGGGTTTTATAATGAAATTATCATAGGTACGGTCAACTTTATCCCATATTTGCGAAATATATCCAATCTTAACTATATGTACATGTATATCCACTTCGACTCCGCCCGAAGTAAGCTTTTCTTTCATGTTAACAGAAGATTTCAGATGTTGTTTGTTAGGAATATAGGAATATAGAAATATTTTTTATACCTTTTTACAGCAACAAGAAAATCCCAATTCTCTAAGGCTAAAACACCAATGTTATGGCATTTCCGATCAATTAGCTATGTATATGCCAGCTATAGGATATAGTATAGAATTTATATACTTTAAGGGTCGGAGATGTCTCCTTCACTGCGTTGCAATGAAAGGTATAAAATTATTTTTTTATTTTTTTTGGCCCTCGCAAAGAAAATTTTGTTATGGATCCAAAATGGTTTATTATAAAATACAATATACAATTTGTATCGTTTTATATTTCATTCATCCCTCTCGGGCTTGGGGCGTTTCGCGCCGAATGGAGACATGGGGGCAGCTAGAGTAACGCCCAAAATGGCCAAAATTAGTATAAAGATCTTCATTGTGGTTTGAGTTCCTAATCCAAATCGAATAAAACAAATGTCACCTGCCTTATATATTATTCCCTGCTCCAGTGTGAAAGAATCGATTTTGTTAAGCTTAAATTTTTATATTTCATGCTGTAACATTTTATTTAAATAAGTTTCATTACCGTTTTATTTCCTGTATAAGTTTCATTACAATATTATATTTATTTCCTGTAGTTATTGACGAGAAAAATTTGTACACCCATTAATTGTAGACTACAAGGGTATAGTATATTCATGCGAAAGTATGTAACAGGAGAGAAATCATCTCCGATCCCATAAAGTATACATTTTTCTTCTGATCAGCTACAACACCCGAGTCGAGAAGACCATGTCTGTCTGGAATCCGAAATTACAAGAGACACAATAGTAAGATTGAACCGAAAAACCGCATAATGTCCTATCCCCACATCATGTTATTAATTATGTTTCACCTACGCAGGTGCTTCTTCCTCACTAGGTGAAGGTTTCCCTATTGTATCTAGGCTTTAAAATTTGGTTGATATGGATCAGTTAATGCATGTTAATTTATTGTTTAACGTGTACTTGATTTAATGGATAAAAAATTATGCCATTAGGTTAAAAGTCGATCACCATTGGGGTCAATAAAAGTACCGTCGCGACGGTTTTGTTTTGAAAATGGCTGGTTTGTGGATGGTTTTGCTCGGGAACTGCCTCTTGTGGAGTCTTGTGGTACGTACTTTCAGGCAGGATAGCTCTGAAGTTATAGTAATTGTCCATCTATCCTTCAAGTCCGAGTGCCAGTTAGTGTACAAGATAACAAAATTAGGCTGAGCCCAACCCAAAGTTTGTGACGAATGTCACTTGTAAGTTGAAGCCTATTAATTGGCACAGGTCGGTGGTGAATATGTCATGTTTTTTGCGACAAAAACTCTATCCCACTGTAAGCTATTGGAATAGAACATTTCATCTATGGCTCTATCTAAGACGGTTTATTTGGTAGATTCAGATGCAAATTTTTAAGAAGGACTATACCAACCAGTTTAAGCCATTTCTGATCGACGTGAAGGTCAAATTTTGCGATGTGGTTCAAAAGAAAAGCTACTTCACCTACGGCGTTATCTTCTGGAAAATTATAAAAAAGTTTGCTGTAATAAAACACGTCTGCCCGTTCTATGTATGTCTATGGACGCTTCTTGTACTGCACGGCGAATATTGATTTAATTTTTGTTTTCAAGGAGGACTTATTAGTTCCGCAAGGCTACTTAGAAACCGAGCTATTACCACCATTTCCCAAAGGAGTTTTTCTATCTAGTCTCACATTTTGGAGCAATGCAACTATACCCGAAAATTGGGGCACAGTAAAGATCTCCATTGAAGCGAAGGATATGGTAAAGACCAAGAAGAATTCAGGATTATAGGAGATATTATATAATTACAAGTAAAAGCACTGCAATTTTTTAAATATTTTATATTATGTTCGTATTATAAGCACATTAACAATCGAAGCAAAAAAGTTCCTAAACCCTAAACATTTAATGGTGTGTGACCCCCAGAAGAATATTTTATTAAGCAATCGGAAAAAAATAAATGACCTTTGTTTAATATGGTACTTTTTTTATCTATAGATTATTTTGCTAAAATTAGGTTCTAAGTACTCATCATAAAATGTTTCTAGTGTTGAAATACTTACCGGGTTGAGAGTGGTGTCGAAGTACCCCAAACACGCTGTTGCTCATCTGGCAGGCAGCAAGGACAGAGGGGCACCGTTACGGCCATAACGAAGAAGGGCAGCCAGCAGACCACAAAGGTACCTGCGTTGATGGCCAGCGTCTTTGCGGCATTTCCTTCTCGCTTCACCCCCAGAGGGCAAGGGCGTGTCAAAAATGTGAAACAAACTTGAACTGTGTGGGTAGTGTAGGAATCTCCACGCCACATCTATAAGATCTAAGCTCTATGTTTTATAGTCTCTGAGATCCACGCGTTCATACGGACAGACGGACATGGCTATATCGACTCGGTTGTCGATGCTGATCAAGAATATGTGTATATACCTATGGGTTTGAAGAAGATTCCTTCTCTATCTTAAATACATTCACACGAATACAATATACCATTCAAGGGGTACCTACAAACGAAACGTGATTTTAATCGTTCAAGACCCAATTTTGTATAAAAATTGTTTTTCTACAAAGTGTATTGTTTTTAACTAGTATTCAGATGTTTGGTTTTAAAAAAGAGCTATATATATAATATAGTAAAAAAAACCTTAGCAACGAAATAAAATTGTTTGGATATCTTTATTCGTTATAATGTTATGCATTATTTTAAATTATTTTTTTAAATTTATTTTACCAAATGTTGGTTTTGTTTAAGTAACTAACGTCTCCAATTATTTATCAGGGTTGGGGGGAAACAAAGAAAACACATTATCCTTATATTTTGGTTTTATTTTGGAAGGAGAAGAAACATTGGGTTTTCTTGAATAACTTCTGCGATTGGGATAATGTGTCAATCATGATGTGATGATGTGAGGTGTCAATCAATGCGTATTAATAATTAGAATGTTATTAGATATTGTGTCTGTTGACACCAATTTCATTACTAACCTGAATTTAGTGAATCAAAGCCATGCCTCATTTACGCCAATTTCTTCCAAACTGATGGACTTTTGGCAAATGTTTTGATTATCTAATTAGAGCAGTACCTTTTGTTTTATACATGACTTATTCAGATAAGACGAACACAGAATATTTTTAATTCTGCGACTATCTATAATGTTTTCACGCGATAAGGTATAAGGATCTCCACCAATGGCGAATGGCGATAATAGCAATGTAATATTATATGATTGTATCTCTCGTACCAAATCTACCACAAATTTTTACTCTTAATGTTCTTAATGTTCATTCTTATAAATCTAAATGTTAAAAAAAATGCAAAATTATTATATGGTTTATAAAAGGAAGGGCATTTGGAAAGGGAGAGAATCAGGTATCATATAATCACAAAACTCGACTATAACCGTCCCTTCCTGTACAAGTCTGATCTTTCCAAGTTATTTGGGTTTCTGGCCTCTTAACTTCTTTTAAATTGTCGATAAGGATTCAATATTGATAGCAAAATTTATCAAGTCTAAAGATTATTTGAACTTAAAACCACAGTCTTATAAACCTTAGAAACCTGTAGGAATTAATGCAATATATTAATTATAATCCACAGCACCAGTACAAGCTATTAAACACTTATAATTTGAATGTTGTCCTCCATGGGACAGCAATTAATTTTGGGATGAAGCCTCTACTCTGGCTTCTGGAATTAATCACTTTAGTCGACGTCGTCGAAGAGACTCATCAGCTCCTGCTCCTTGCGCCTGATCCTCTCCTGGATGTTGGTCACCGATTCTGATTTGGGAATCTCCCCCGAGAAGAAGTCATCCATGGACTTAAACACGTTCTGGTACTGATTGTCGTACGTGGAATAGGTGATCGGTGGGGGCTTCTTGGGTGCCCGCTTGGTCACTGCATTGCGCTCGGAGAACTCTTTCAGCTCGTCCAGATGCAGTTCCTCGTCCTGCTCGTAAGGTGCAAACCTGCGCACCGTCTGCCGATCAAGCTTGGCCTTCGTCTCGCGCCGCTCGCGTTCGATCTGCTCCACCAAGCGCCTCGAAGGAGTCACCATCTTGACGGTGCCGACGAGAAGCTCGTGGTCTAGGATCTCCGCCTCGTTGGTTTGTACACCCGTCTCGAGCACATCCTGGACTGCCCCTTCGTTGTCCTCTGCCTCCCCCTCCCTCAATAGGGCCTCGTAGTCATCCAGGGACTTGGGTTCTTCGGCCACATTAAGTTTCTCCTTGCGCAGATTGGAGGTGTGGGTGCTGCCACCAGCTGGCCTGGTGGGCCACAAACGTTCCCGGGCAGCCTGCTTGGCCGCAGCGGACATCACCCGACGTTTGGGTGGCTTCGATGGAACAATGTCGTTGCTCTTGCCCCTGGAGAATTGGATTTAGGAAAGGTTCTATGAAGAGGATACAAAATAGTAGCCTTACCCGGTGGTAATGTTTCGTTCCAGCTGGGCATTCGGGTGAGTTCCTCGTTGCTGGCGATTGTTGGTGGCCCTCAGCGATGAGGCTATGGTGGGCTGGGCCAGTCGGTTGATGGGGTTACCTCCTGCAACGCCGCTGCTATTTCCAAGGCGGCGGCCTGTCTGCTTCCAAGCCGAGCCCGCCACGTCGACGGTTCCTCCATCGCCCCCTCCGCCGTGAACAGTTTTCCGTGTTCCCGTCGTGTGCGTCGATAGAGGTGCCGTTAACTTGGAACGCATTGTGACCCCCGCAGCGGTGGTGTTGGCCCTATTTCCATTGGGACCTCCACTGGCCCTGTTAGCCACTCCTCCTCGTCCGGCACTCCTGCCGATCGCTTGCATAGCGCCAAAGGGTATAGCAACGGTTATGTTAAGGCGAACTATGTTGCCGAATAGGTTTTGGTTACCAAAAAGTTTTATTTTCTTGATTGACGGATTTATACAATAATTTAAACAAATTTTACTCAAAATTAGTTTTGGTTTGCTAGTTGAACTGGCTAAAGGCACTGACGAAAGGTATATGCCTATGCCTGGGAGCTATTGAGTGTTCTCGCCCCGATAGAGGGATAGTTTCAAGTTTCGACCGACCTACTATACAGAAAACTTCATTTTAGTATACTTTTTTATTAATTGAATATATTTTTGAAATATTTGTTTGAATCGGAATACATATTGATTTTAAGTGGATAATAAAGTGAATAGATACAACATGGAGTGGTACTCAAAGCGTATATTTTTGGGTGATTATTCTCTTACAGGGTTATGGAACAGTTGCCGAACTCCAATATATGTTTTTGTCGGGAAACCGATCTTGTCTAGAGAAGGTTCCCCTGTCATATTATTATACTCTCTAAAATATCCAAAGACAAATCTTAAGATCCAAGGACCAATCGCTTAAAGTTTATGATTTTTATCATGAATTCTAGTTCTCCGGTATTGGGGGACTGGCTTTCATACCACGAATCAGAATCCCTGAGCAATAGCAACTGAAAAGTGTTCACTTTGAGACGTCCATGTCTATGCTCGAATCAATTACATTCGCAACTGACCGCCCAAGCGGAAGCTGCCGGTCAGAGGCACAGGGGTTAACCCTCTGTCCCGGCAGCTCCTGGTCACGTGGGCGCATCAAATGCGAATCTATTTGGTAAGGTGTTTTGCTGATTGGCGCATGGAGGATCGCAGATCGCACAAATGCCAACAGCAAAGTCAAAAAAAGGACGCCACAGCCACTTGTTATGCCAAGCGGCTGCATCGTCCTCATAGATTGGAGATTGTCTCCCCGGAAGCCGAAATTATGAAATGACACACTTCGACTTCTTCTCCTTGGGTGGCGGCGTTGGTTGCCGCGGAATAAACGATGACGGCCTGCCAAAGTTATTCCAGCTGCCGTGAGGCTCGTAGACCGGCGGCGGACGTCGGTACCCGTCGGGCAGGGGCCGCGTATTCTCGAACCTCGAACTGCCGGTGGGAATGTGACTGTAGGCAGTCGACCTGGTAGCTGTTACCTTCTGTGGCGTCAGTGGTGGAGCACTAGGTGCGTACGGCTCGCGACCGTAAGGCACTCCATTCAAATACCTCTCATTTTCCCGTCTGTAAGAAGTATCCCTTGGAGGTGGGTTTTCAACTGGCCGTGGAATAGTACGAGCCACTGGCACTGGCACTGGCACTGGACGTGATGCTGGAACAGCGGTACGTGGGGGAGCATGCACCGATCCAGCAGTTGCAGTATTAACCCGAGGAGTAGCACTCGTCGGTGATGGAGTAGCAAGTGCTACCGGTTTGGTGGCCACCTTGGAAATATGCTCCACCTTAAGATTCTTCAGTTGGTTCGTTACTGAACGAACTGCATCGGAATCGTGGTCCACATTTGGCACACTTGGTAACTCATCGAAGAGCTTCTCGACCTCAGACTTCTCGCTCGCCTTGACCTCCTTGCCCAGTTTGAGCAATTCCTCTTTGTTGTAGAAGTACCTGACCGCCTGGGCAGGATTCTTCTGGATGCTGGAAGCTGAATTGAAAGAACAAAGCTATGAACTGAGGGATCTATGAAGGCGGAACCCGCCAGAGAAACAACTGATCGGTGCCCCTACGGTAACAATTTTTGGAGTGCCGATTTATTTTTTAATGCCGAGTTCAGCAGGTTGAGTTTTTGGAATTTTGAATGAGCTTCAAATAAACTTTTTCTGACTGCAGACGATAATTGTTTCTCTGGAGGATTTGACTGGATGAATGGGTTTATTACTTCGTTTTAGGGTTTGCACCAAGCCGGACGCTGGCTGCTCTCCGACAGCTCCTCGAACGCCGCCCGGTGTACTTTTCGGAGGACTCTGCCCAGTCTGGCCGTTCTGCTTGCCAGGATTGTTTTCTTCGCGGTAGTACGGCACTCCCACCAGTGTTTTGCGGTCCCGGCACGTTTCAATGATTCGCCTGAAGACATGGTTTTGACTCAGAGTTCGGGGGTTTCCGATCAAAATGAGCAAGGACATCGGTCGAGACAGCAAAACATTAAGGCGCTGGGTAGGATAAATGCGAAATAGTTCATTAAAAGATTATAAGAAATGTTTGGGGAGTAAGTGTAGTTTGTCAAAACTTGTGTATTGTCCGAACTAACTCGATCATTGTCCAGAAATCCCAGCTTGGGTGTAAAGGATCGCACAAAGGACACGATGATAACTTGCTTCTCCTTTCCCTGGAACAACTCAACAGAGCCGCAGTCTATCTGGAACCAACTGCGCATATTCAGTTGCTCCTGGATGCGCTGGTACTGGTTCTTGTACGGCGAGATGATGCCGATATCCGTTTGTGCTATCTTCTCCCCGTTCAGCCCAAAGTACATGAGATCCTTGACGTAGTCCATGACAGCATCGATCTCCTTGTTGTTGCACAAGCTGTTTGGAAAATACTCCAATTAATGGGTATCCGATTTCTTGGAATGTAACCCCTTACCTCACGGAGCTCTTTGTGTTCATCACGGTGCCAAACACCGAATGGAACATGATGGGAAAGTCCGGATTCGGCATGTGGAACCAGTCTCTAAATTTGCAAACACTCTCTGCAATTGAAAATCACACATGTAAGGCAAGTTTTTAATGGAAAAGGAATTAATTACCCATTGCCGCCTTGGCCTTGAGCTTTCCATCATAGTAGAGATCACTGTAGAGAGACACGATCTCCGGATGGGATCGGAAGTTGCGGATGAGCCGCGTCTGCACGGCTACATTGTAGCTGCCGTCCTCCTTCACCTGGTAGCACTTCCTCTGTAGAAGTCGTTCGAATAGCGACAACGACAGACCCCATTGACTGGCGCGCTGCGACTGCAGCACTGGTCCCAGCTGCTTGTGGTCCCCGGAGAGGATCAGGCTGGTCGTGGGCGAAATGGTGCAGGTGATGCCCATCAGGGCTTCTGCCTCGGTACTGGCCGCCGCCTCGTCGACGAACACGTGCGAGAAAACATTACCCTTCGCGAATCCACCTGTGGACAACTTTCCCGCCAAACTAAGTGTGCACACCACGATGCGATACTGGTGCACAGCCTGCACGGCCGGATAAAAGTGCAATGCGTACATATTGGAGTACTCCAGCAGCATGTCGTCTATGTTGTCGATTCGCCGATCACAACTGGCGGCAAAGATGCGCGTTAGAGGCCGCGGTTGGCTCTCCGGAGCCTTGGCTATGGCCCGTAGCAGCCGCAGAGCAACTTCATCGCAAGCAGTGTTGGATCCAGCCAGCACGAGGATATGTGTTTCCGGGCGCTTCACATACAGCTGGTAGATGGCCTCGCAGATGGTGGCTGTCTTTCCGGTTCCTGGGGGTCCGAAAATGATGTACGGAGCTGGTAGTTTCTGCGATAGTGCTATTTCACGCACCGCCTGCAATTGTTCCGGGTTCCGGGAGATCTCCAAATTGTTGAGTTCTATGATTCCCGTTGGTCTCGGTTGGGGGGAAAGCTCGCCCGGAAACAGAATCCGTCGGACATCGGTGCTATTGGTCAGGGCCAACTGCTGGAGAGCTCGGTACTGGTAGCGCATTACCGCGCGTACAGGACGAAAGATCAGCGTGTAGGTGGTGTTATCCGGAAGCTGCCGCTCGCAAGTAATGTTCACACGCTGCGTGGAGACGCCCAGGATGCGGGCAAAGTAGACGCGAGGCTGCTTCTCCAACGGACCAAACTGGCCGTCGACTTTGCGAGCCCACTGAATGATGGAGTCGAAGTCCTTGAGAGCCAGCTCCATCACCAGATTGTTGCTCTCCAGCATCTGACGCACTCCCCCCGCGGTGCCCTGGGTGACGCGCTCGTTGATGATCAGAACATCGTCTCCGGGCGAGAGCACATCCTCGACACTCAAGTTGTTAGTGTTTAGCTGCATCTTCACCGAGAGCTCTCGGCCGAACTGGTGCAGTTCCATCTTGGTCTGCTTGAGTCCGAGATAGTGCTGCAGTCGCTCGATATCCTCCACCTGGAGCAGGGTGCGTAGCGTTCCGCTCAAGTTCTCCTGGGTGAGCTCTTTGCCGAGCTCGCAATAGTTGCGGTAGTGCTTGTCAAAGTCCGCCAGCCGGACCTGGGCATCCTCGTGCTTCAATGCCCGGAAAACTTGCGTGGGCGGATTGGACGGGGCGAGACCCTGGCTCTTGAAGGTCTCGTTGTTGGACAAGCGATACGGATTCACATTGAAGCTGGCCTTGGGCAGGGCCTCGGTGCGCATAAAGTGATGCTGCTCCACATAGCGCTTCCCTCCGCTGGTGAACCCGATCACGATGGGCATTTCCCGGAGAATCATGAAGACGTGCGAGTCCACGAAAAAGACCAGTTCTCCACTCTCGGACACCTTCATTGGCATCCGAGCGTTGTACACATAGTAGAACTGGCGTAACTGCACAATGACGAACTTCTCTACCACCAAGTCCTTATGGTTGGTCTTCATGGTGAAGCCAAAGTAGTGGCTATTGACGCATGTTTGGTATGAGAGCGTCACCATGGGGGTTGTGCTGTCCAGAGATGGAAGATGAGAGATCAGCGAGCCAACAGAGACTTAAAACTTACAGTTTTTCCATTTTTTTTAGAGACTTGAAGTCAGACTCATCTCCATGGTACTCCACATGCTCCTCGTACTTCTCAATCGTCTCGAAGTTCACCTGGCAAATGTAACAGCCGAAGGAGCTTAGCTCGAAGTTCGTCACTGCTTTCTGGACATGGGTCTTTTGATACTTCAACGGCATAGCCTCCGACTTCTGATCAAGAACATATTCTGGAAAAAACCACAGTACATTAGAACACGATGATGAGTCAAGATGGAGCATGAGATCCACCTTCGGTTATGGGGCGATTTCCTTCCGTAACAGCACCTGGAACGGGCACGGTGACCGATGCTCCTCGGTGCTTCTCATCGATGGCATTGAACTTCTCCTTTCGGAACTCCATCAATGCAAAGCTCTTGATGCGGTAGTTGGGGTTGCCCCGCGGCGTATTGATCAAAAAGTTTGTCCGATGCAACAGAGATCCAATCTGTGACGATCCAAGATAATGGTCAGTATCGGTTTCTATTATTACTAGCTTCATTATCGCTTCCGTTTGTGCAATATCTGGGTGTATGGTTAACAACCTGATACGGAGCAGTGTATTGTTTTAATTGCGAAAAAGCGAATAGGGGGAATCACATGACTCTACAGCACATGCAATGGTTGTCTTTGTTCTATTTAGATACATGGATGACTATAATCCGGACAACGGAATTTCCAAGATTAAAGGGATAAAGGGAATCACCCTTATTCCACCAACAGATGCTACTCTACCATGACTAGATCTCAACAACCAGATGATAATTACAGGTAATGCCCGTTTTTGGGACTTTATTTATAGTAATTATAAATATCGCAAAACTTATTTAATAAAAACGGTGAACTAATTTTTATTGCCGCAAGTGATGATAAGAAATACATATATGACGTGTGATCTTCAGAATCATATACATATAGTCGAATACTTTATAGCTTGGAAGTAGCTATAAGATATTAAAATAATAATTACTTTAATGTTTGGTTTATCCAAACCCCCAAATCCCGTAACATACACCTGCAAAATACCTACAAACATCTAGCTTTATGACTCATAAAGCCATTGACGAACCAGACGGAACTTAGTCGACGTCTATATGGCAATAATACAACAAAAATTGCAATACCGGCAAGCGAAAACGATGGTATTGGTGAGCATTGCTGATAATTTGTGGCGTCGACTGTTTGAAGCTCTCGCAAAAAAAAAAAAAAAAAACAATGCAAAACAATGTGTTCTATTCTCTTATCACCAGCTAAGAGGAAACGGATTAAACCACAGGGAGCTAAATCAGTTACATACCGTAACTATATCATGTATACTCACATTCCAGGCGCCTTGGGCTGAAAGCTGCAGGCGGATTTCTACACTGTTCGGCAAAGAGGCCAGGTAATGGGTGAAAAAGTTGCGTAGCTTATCCTTCTCCGCATACCACTCCCTTTGGGCAGAGATCACCTGCATTTTAGCCATTTCCAACAGAAAAGCTCCGATGAGCTCGCGCTCTGTCCAGAGATTCGGATGTAAGCCAGTCTCAAATATATGGATATTTTGTAACAAACTCACCCCAGGGCACAGGCGGCTTGCGAATGTTGTTTCCATTGGCAAATGGACTGTTTTGGGGAGTCTTCCCCAGCGACCCATTGGCTGCTGGCGGCGTCGCTGGCGGTGTCAAGATGCTGTCCGGCAGACTCGTTGGGGGGTTTTTGGCAGCAGCCGCGTTCTTTCTCTGGTTTTTGTTCTTCGTCATATCGGTTCAATGGTCTTTTGATTTGATTTTTTTTTTTCGTCTTTTTTTTAAGATTTTTCGTAGATTTATTGCACTTTTACAAAGTCAAGGTTTGATATTGTTAGGCAAGAGTTTCGAGTTTCTAGAATGCACAATCGTAATTAAATATTAGTTGTTTAACGTGAACACAAAGGCACAAATACACACACAAGGCGGTCGTGTAAAAAATTATCGGTAAATTATATATACATAGATATAGTATAGGGTACGGAATGAACTGCTCGCTGCGGCGGTCGGTCAAGCAATGAAGAGAACGATTTTATTTTAAGGTTTCGCCTGCATAGACGACTTCGGGTGCGCCGCGATTTCAAAGAAGACCGATCGAGTCCCGCTCGGTGAGGTCCATAGCATTTATCCAGAGATCTGGATGCACAATCTTACCTATTATCCGCAAGTTTCTCTCTCTCGGATAATGGATAAAAAATTTACACAAAACAAAGACCCTTGAAACTGAAAGCTTACGTGGTCTAAGCGATCTTTTTCAATGAGGGCCCTGAGGACCTGGGCTGAAAGGAGTTCCAGGAATCAAAAATGAACAATGCAAGAAATTATTCTGCAGCTTTCTACTTGAATTGGCAAACCGCAGCCGCTTCCATACTTACATACAGATAACTAGAATTTTACGTGTTTTTTTAATGGTTTAAGCCTTATAGCTGGGCGCGGTTTTTTATGCCTAACCTTTTAAAAATTATATTTTCCTGTGTGTGTGCGTCTGTTTTTGTTTTGAAATTTTTGTGGCGTGTAACACTTTTTTACAAAATTGAACTAAGTATAACAAATGCCTGACTTAAAATTCGTGGAAAGTACCAATATTGAAGTTCGTTTTAGTTTGTTCAGTGTTACCAGGTCTCTACAAGTGATCGTGAGTCTCGTATTGACTCAAGATCAGTATAAAAAAAATACTGCCCTCTTTTACCGGTTTGTTGAGCTTTTATAATTTTTAATTTTAAAAATACTCACTTTTATATTATGAATATTTTAAAAAGAAATAAAAATTTAAATTGGAAAAACATTAGATTAAATGGAAAAAAATATCCTTATACTTTTTAAAGGAAAACAAAAAAGAAAATATCATATTCTTATGATGGCCCATCCTCATGAGAATTATAAAACCAGTTATAAAATTATAAAACAAATTTCTTAGTATACAAAATTAAAAAAAAGTCCCAAGGTTATATCTTTGACTTTGGAATACCAAAGTTGGGAAATTCCGACCGTTCAGGTATATGGGATATGGGACTTTGGGATATAGTCGGAATCATTAGGATCGACATTTTGTAGGTCGGATCAGTTGGCCAAAAGTATAATCTGAGAGTTCCAACCATCTATCTCCAAAAACACGAAAGTAAGGTCATTTCCAATCGCTGAGTTATATAGCCGGCCGATCTTTATGAAATTCGGTACATCGTATTATTTTGGTCAAAATATAATCCATAGAAAATCGCAAATCGAGGTGATGCTGATAAAGAATATATATACTTTAATAGAAGATGTCTCCTTGAATGCGTTGCACCCTTTAGACCACAATCATAATACCTTCTACAAGTTTATAAATATTTTTTTTTTTTTTTTTTTTTTTTTGTAATAGCAGGGTAATGTTTATTTAAAACTGTCCATTAGGGACAACCATTAAATTTTATCACGTAAACTTCACGTATAGATATTTTTAAATATTAATATGGTAGAAAAAAAAATTAGAGTAGTAAGGGGAGGTCCAGCGGGTGTGTCCTTTTAAGTCTTCTGGGTTGCTCGCTGCTGTCCAGCAGGGAGCTGGCCAACCGGTTCGGGTGATTATGAAGCCTCTGCATGTAACGTGCGCTGCTTCTTTGTATCTCGTCCTTGACCCAAGGGAAATTGAGAACCTCGTGGATAGTGCGATTGTCATGATAGACGTTGGCCCCAGTGGCGATTCGATTAAATATAAAATATTCTTTTAGATAAAACATAAAGATACTTATAAATTTATTTAATCATTAATTAGTAATTAAAAATAGATTTACATATTATTTCTTTGCCAGCTTAAGCTTCTCGGAGCCGAAGATGACTCCGGTGTCGCCCAGTTTTCGCTTCATGGCAAACGGATTAACAGAATTCAGAGGAGTCCTTTGTTCTGCCGTCTTTCCAGAAAGTGGCTCCGGCTCAGACTCCCCGAAAATGTTCTCCTGCGTGTCTAGGGGTGAGTGCGGTACATCCGGAGTCGAAGGACGCGACGCTGCTGATGCTGCCTTGAACATATTTGGCGAGTTGCTGAAGCGTTTGAGGGCTCCTCGTTTGGCGGAGTTCAGCTCAATAGCTTTGGGTTTTGGTCCGCTGGTCTGGGTTGCTGAGGTCGGCGTCATGGGCAGGACAATAGTGGCCGCTATACCGCTGGATCCCAGCAATGTCTGTTGCTTGCGTGCCTCCTGGATGGCCTCTAGCTGCGGCAGCAACTCGCAAAGTCGGTCGGATAGATGGATCCGTCCACGCTTGGTTGCGTACTTCACCGCCAACTGGAGTAGCTCGGTGCAGGCAATCGATTCTATCAGCTCCCTGGCTCGAGTCTCGCACTCGCCGCTGCAGGCCAAGGCGAAAAGTTTAATGGCCGTCTCCTTTTGGATCTTCTCCGCGCCGTCAACTTGCATCAGGCTGGAACGAAGCAGGGCGTCCTCCAGCTCCGACTTCTCCACTTCGATGTCGCACAGTGGGATCTGCATGCGTAACTCATGAAGCATGGGCTTGGGATTGGTCATGGGGTACGAGGTGCCGCGGCAGAGCACGGCCTGTATGATTTGTCGACGTTCCGAAACAGCCACCACAAAATAGTTGTTAGACACGCTGGAGCTCTGCTTCATGGTGTCGCAGATGGGGAACCAGGCGTTGCTGCTCTTTCTATAGAGTTGAACCAACCCCATGTTATCCGCAAAACTAGGAGATCCCGTGTCACTGAAGCCAAGCCAAGACAGATTTCGACCGGGAGTGAGCGCAACTGGCAGATGCTCCAGGCGCAGGTTGAGCCCGTTTATGGTTACCAGCATAGCAGCAAGATGTTGTTGTGTCTGGCTGGGATGCGAACTGTGATAGACCAGCATCAGGCAGTGCTCATGTCCAGCGAGTGCCACCACCGGTCCCGGAATGCTGAGAACCTCACGCTGGGTACCCATCACACTGAAGATGCGGAGGAAGCTGGAGCTGGTGGCTACGGCAACCAAGTGGCTGGTGGCCACTAGGGCCTCCACACTCTCGCAATCTGGCAAGCTGAGCGACCACTCTTTGTTTCCAGCGGCGGCAAGGGCAATTACCACCAGCTTGCTGGACTCATTGGAAGCTAGAGCGAGTGCTCCACTGCTCAGGCTGGCCAAGTTATGGTGATTGTAGTTGCTGATGTGCAAGGCATGGTGTAGGCTGGCATCGTGAAACTCCACGTCGATGGAGCCATCTCCTGACGGTTCCACATGGCCCGTGACAATGCCCACATCGTTCCAGGCCATGTAGCGGTGCTCCAGGTCACTGGGCGTTGAACTTGGCTGAAACGCCGCCTGTTGCTTGAAGAATTTGATCTGAGGAGCAGCGGGAACGGGCGCTGTACGGCTGCTGGCCAAGGACTGGTTGGACGTCTCGTCAACGTCCACAGGATCAGCAAAATTCATAACTTTGCGCTTCAGTTGCTCCAAGCTCACGCCATCACCATCATCCTGCGGGTTTTCCAACTCATCGGCACCCTCAAACTCATAGCCATCAAGTAGGTCGTCCTGGGCCTCCTCTACGCCATCCTCTCCAACGATTTCATTTCCATCACTTAGGAATACGGTTCCTAGCTGCCCAGTGGCATCACAAAAAGCGACTTCCTCTTCGCCAGATCGGTTCCAAGCCAAACAGGTGATGGAGTTGCAGTCATTTGGCGGCATCTCCACTGGAAGCGCTTTTCTCTTCTTTACATCAAAGATGCTTATTTCTCCTTTTGTGGTTCCGGCGGCCAAACGATCCCCTTTCGGGGAAAACTGACAGCAGCTGTAGTTACTAGACACCCTTTCGTCGCGCAGCTTGAAGGCCACCTCCCAGTTCGCAGTATTTAGGACCACAATCTCATTGTCCGCTGCATAGGCCAGAAGCTCCCCACTCTTGGGTTCAAAAGTGGGTGTTCCAAAGAGACTGGCGCTCTCAAAGCTGTTTACTTTTGGCAAGCCAGATACGCTCTTTAGCTCCTTGCCCTCCTCGAAGTTCCAGACCTTTAAATGGCCATCTCCAGCTATAGAAGCCAGAAGTTTGCGTTCAACGAACATGTCCAGAGACAAAACAGGTCCAGTGTGTCCTTCTAGAACAGTTTCATTGCCAGGAGTGTCGCCTTTCAGCACCTTGATATTGGTGTCCTCGCTGCCTGCAGCGGTATATTCACCAACCACTCGGACGCATGTCGCTGGAGCGGTGAACCGCATCATAATGCCATCGCTGTCCATGTCCGGAAAGGTATAGGCGTGAACGGTGTTGCGATCCGTGGAGGCCAACAGTCGAGTGCCCGTGTGGGCGATGCACATGACGAATTCACCCAGGCAGCTGGATCGGGGGTCGTCATCGCTAATGGAGGTCCAGTGGCGGATGTCGCCGTCGGTGCCGCACGTGATGATGAACTCGCCGCGCGGTGTGTACAGGAGTCCAGTGTAGCCGTTGGTGTGAGCATAGCGCAAGGCACTACGCGAGAAGCTCATTTTTTGTTATTAAATTACAATTAAAAATTATAGAATCGCGTTGATCGTGCTACTTTTGGCGCCAAATGTGTGATAGAGGGACAGTGTTGGTAGCCAATATAATGGGTTTGTTTTGTTTTGCCGGGAAAGTTGAATCTTTATCAACACTAAACGAACAGCTGTGGGTCAGCTGTTTTAGATACCCTTATAATACCGGGTAATTATAAATTATAAAACCATAATTTTTCTTTGCTGAAAAATGTATTGATAATATTAATAATGATATAATAATGATATATAATGATATTAAAATAATTTTGTATAGAATCCTTTACTTTTGGAATGCAGTGTATGAAATTGTCGACTACACATTAAAGATTTGTATTATTTTTTTATACTGCCTTTGCCGGTGGCTTGTTACAGCATTGAAAACATCCCCACCGGATTATGTTGAGAAAATTGACCAAGCTAGCGACCTTAAAGGTCAGGTGTGAGCTGCGACACCTGTCTTCGCTTACACAAACCTCCCAAAACATCTTTGACCGAAATGCGAAGCGCTTGCAAAAGGAACGTGCTGCCCTCAGGTGAGATTTTCCAAATAGTAAAAATCTGACACTATTTAAAACGAAAATTTTCAGTGAAAATGTCGGTCTTTATGATTACCTCAAAGAAGAGGTGGGCTTTCGCCTGGCGGACCGGGTATTCGACATTAAACGAGAGTTTAAGGCTGCAGCTGACATTGGATGCAGTCGTGGGTACCTGTCGAAACACATACTGGCGGAAAGCGTGGAGCATCTGACGCTGACGGACTCCAGTGCCACCATGTTGGAGCAGGCCCAGGGCACTCCTGGCCTCAAAATGCTAAAGCTAGTGAAGGATGAGGAAACTTTAGATGTGAGTGAAGCCCCATGTTCTTCAAGTTACTTTTTCTTATGAGACATTTCTACAGTTTGAGGAAAACTCCCTGGACCTGGTCATCTCCAGTCTGAGTCTTCATTGGGTTAACGACTTGCCCGGCTGTTTTGCCAACATCAAGCGCAGCCTAAAGCCTGACGGAGTCTTCATAGCTTCGATGTTTGGAGGAGACACGCTGTACGAACTGCGTTGCTCCCTTCAACTGGCTGAACTGGAGCGTAAAGGAGGAATTTCCCCGCACATCTCGCCCTTTACCCAGATACGGGACATTGGCTCCCTGCTCAACCGCGCTGGCTTCACAATGCTTACCATAGATACGGACGAACTGGTTATCGGTTACCCCAGCATGTTCGAGCTAATGTGGGATCTCAAAGGAATGGCCGAGAATAACGCAGCCTTCAATAGGCCAGTTCACCTCAGTCGGGAGACGATGCTGGCAGCCAGTGCCATATACAAAGAGCTGTACTCGAAACCCAACGAAAACGGTGTGCCCGCCACCTTTCAAATCATTTACTTTGTGGGCTGGAAACCGGGTCCCAATCAACCGCAACCCCTAGCCCGGGGCTCCGGAGAGGTGTCGCTTAAGGATCTGGGAAATATCATCGAGAAGGGCGGCAAACTGGACACGAAGGCGGGGGACTAGTGTAGATTGAGTTGACAGTTTTATTTTGAAACTTGCTTGAACATAAATTAAACTTAAATAAACATAATTCCTTTTGCTGAGTAACTTAAGCTAGTGATTCTTGTTTGTGTGAGGGTCTATGATGAAATGAATTATAAATACTCGTTTAACTTGTCAGTTGTTCGTCTTTCTGCGTACTGCTATGCTGTTACAACTATACATATACATAATATCTAGCGTAATTATTCCATCCTGCTGCCTATAGCTTTCAAATAATATTTTTGGTTGTATGCTTTCGCCTTTACACTCGACTTCATTCAATGGACGTAACTTTTTAACGTTGCTTTGTATTTTGTTCGGTACGTATATACAAGTACAAATTTACAACAATTTCTATAATATATATATTTTGTTTGGGTTTAGTTTTAATTCAATTATGCAATTAATAGATTTCTAACCGATTTGTAGTTGTATTAGATACGATTTGCTCTTGCTTAAATATTGTTCCTTTAGCATTTAGCGTATTTAATTCTCGATTGCTTTCATCAATTGTTTAACTTGTAACTGTTGTAAATTTAATTTGGCGCATCTATCCCAGAAACTGATTCCACTGCAGGTTGGGCCCTGGAAACGAGACCTTATCTTCAGAAGCACTATGTACAAAGGTTTTTTTTAGCTCTAGGTTCTTGGAAACTTGATGCCAGCTGCTTCTAAAGGTGTTCTAGTGGCTTCAGCGGTGGTAGAGCTACAACTCTTTGGGCTAAGCAAAGATAGACGGCGACGGCGGTAGCCAAAAACTAGGTGACGCCGCTCTGGCTGGCTGCCGCCGACTTTTGCTTTGCCAGTCATCCCAGCGACAGGGGCGATCTTGGTGGCACAGGCGGCGGTGTGGGTGTGGACCTTGGCGAGGAATTGGGGCTAACTCCCAGAGCTCTGGGACTAGTTCCTGCCACTCTTCCTGGTTCCGCTGCAGGGCTAGTGCTGGCTGTGTGTGTGATTGATCCTGTGGTGTGTGTGTGACGGTTTTCTGCAGCTGCCTGCGGCGTGGAACTCGCAGGCGGCAGCTGACGTCAGGTGCCCAGCAGCATTTCGCGCTGAGGAGTGTTCTGCAGCATGTTGGCGGTTTTCAGGTGAATACTATTTCAAAATATACATTGATTAGTTATTAGTTTAAAGGCTTTGCAGCCATGTACTCACTTATTGTCCTCCAGCGACATGGTCTCCGACGAGCCGTGCGAGGCAACTGAGGTACCTGCAAGCGAACTTCGTATTGAGTGCGAGTCCTCGGGAACAGTAAGCGTAACTAATAAATGCCGATTGAAATGATTTGGATTTTGATTTTGGAATTTTTTGTTTGGTCAACGCGTTAAATCCCAGTCGTATCGTCGATTAGCCAATGCATTTGAAAAAAAGTTTGATTTTGGAAAATTGCATTTAGTTTTCGATTGTGGCTGGTGGGTGGTGGTGGTGGGTGGCAATGTGAATTTTGGTTTTGTTAGCGGTGTTAGTGTTTTTGTTGGTTGTGAGGTGCAAATCGAACCGAATACTTCGGATAAATACTGGATTCTGAACCTGGAACAGTTCTTGTCATACAATAATATGGAGTAATCGAATAGAAAATCAATCATGCTGGCAAGCGAATAGCTCTTCAGTACAAAATCATTTTATTTGTTTGGTACTTCATCTATAGATATATATATAGTCATATAATTATTGGCTAATCAGATTACAGCTACTATTTTGGCTTTAACATAAACTAAAGTTGAGTTTCATCGTTAAGCGAAAACATAGTAAATGCAAAGGCAAAGCTTAAAATACGTAAATAGTAGAGTAGAGGTGGTTTAAGTAGGTTTTAAGTAGTGTAGAGTGGAAAGTAGTTAGGCGGATAACAATAAATATTAATCGTTGTACGTAGAAAAATCATTGGAATCTTAGGAGTTATCAGTTTGTTGTTTTGGAATACAATAGTCTCTCGGGTAGGTAATATCAGAGAGTCAAAGGACAAGAATGTATGCAGGAGAAAAAAAACACTGAAAACAAAATCAATTAACGCTAGGAGCAAATGATAACAATTCAATTTTCCTGCTTTTTGGACACACAAAAATTAAAGCTAAGTACGTGGATATTACTATTGAATGTTTAGAGTTGGCATATGCGTTATACAAACAAAGGAGGAAAAATTAACTACACAAAGAAAGATTACGGATGAACTAAAACTAGAGGCGCGTGTTCTCCACGCTCAGCGCATCATCGTCGTCTCCGTCTCCGTTGGCAATGACCTGGGCATCCGATGCCTCCTGGTGACCGTTGTGGATGATATAGACACCCTGGCTGCTGGGACTCTTTGTGTGCATGTGCAGTTGCTGTCGCTGGAGTGCCTCCAACGCCTGATCCAGATCGAGGCGAGTGCGACTATCGCTTTCGCTGCTGAAGCTGTGCCGCGTGTGCTGCAGCCCGCTGGGCGGAGCATACGGCTGCTGCTGGGCGGTGAGATAGCTGAGATTGTGGATACTCTGGCTGCGAGCATTGTCTTGGACACTTTCGGGAGTGGTCACCACATATCCGTTGCTGTACAGCGAGTAGCTACTATTCGCCGGGGAGGTGGCTAGGCTAGTGATACTCTGATAGGTTTTCATTGAGTATGCATCACCTAGGGACAAAATTACAGAAGCGATTGCGAATTAGGTCAGATCTGTTTTGGGTCCGAGCGGGTTTTTTTTTTTATTGCCGGGCAGACGCAGAAGCGGTGGTGGCAGGTGGTCGTAACGGATATACATATGTACACGCAGCAGACAATGTTAGACAATGGTTACAGAATGGTTCATCCGATTACACATGACATGGAGTCGAGGGGCGTATTGAATAAGCATGATCTTTTGGTTATTGGCCGATCGGCCTTCGGCCCTTAAACGCTAATACTTTACACATACAGTTAGTGCCCATTAGTACTTCTAACGAAGGGTCCTCCTCCATCCCGAACCACTATAATCAATCCTTTGCCGCCATAAGACTGTACAGAAATATAGAACAGCCGTGGACCGTGTCCCACCCCTCCCAACGTGCAAAGGTCAATATTAGCATATTATCGAATTAAGTAGTCGGCGACCAGGCTGATGACGCACTTCGATTGGATCGCTGCTGCAAAGTGGCTACGATTGGAACAAAAACTCAAAGGAAAATCTATACATTGCTACTCAAATAAACAGAAAATACATATGCCGTATCGGGTTCTATATCTAAACAGGACTTTGTACACGGGGATTACAGTTCAATACAATTACAACTAAGAAGACACCAATAGAAGTTCGTTTTGGGGAACTGCTTGTGTTTCTGTTTACGTACATGTACATCAATATATACAGACAAATTGTGATAAACTTGCACCACACAATACAAAATAAATAAGAAATGTGAATTGAAATTGCACAGATTATAGTAACAGTCGGGGTTAGTTGGTTGGTTGAAAGCAAGCATTAGTATTAGTATTTAAACGAGTGTTGGGATGTGCGTGGCTATCATGACTCACCCGTGGCGCACTCCGAAGTCTCGTAGGACACTGTCGATTGTACCTCAATCGCGTTTTGTTCTTGTCTGGAAGACCAATCAAAGGTTATTAATTTTCATTTAATATTCTGTCAACACACAACCTTGATATCACATCTGTTATGACTTGCTTTTCGGTATCCGTGTAATCGTTGCGCCTGCGACCGATCTTCTTCTCCATGTCAGCCTCCACAAAGTCGCCCAATGTGCGCGTGGGGAACTCATTTGACTTGGCTGGCGGTGGAACGTCCAGCTTCAGGTCCTTCAGCTTTTTCATAACGCGCTCCAGAGCCTGGATGGCGTCGTCGTCGTTGTAGCCAAAGTTCTTGTGCAGTTTCACCTGCAAATACTCGATGATGGCGTCCATGTCTTTGAGATGCAGCAGTTCGTCCTTGTGGAGATAGAGGATCGTGATGGCCATGGATAGAATAACCTTATCGCCGTCCAACAGAAATATATCCCACACACGCAGACTAAGGCTAAAGGGAACCTGCAAAAAGATCAAGGTTTTAGTTAAAGCTTCCCATTAAATATTATCACGCTCACTCGTTCGACGAAGACCACAAAAAACCACTTGATGGCGTAGAGCAGCGCGTCAACGTTGTGTTTGGTAAAGTGCTTGTGGAGCTTGCGCATTATCTTGGACAGTATGCGATCGTGGTGGTCGATGAAGCGCGTCAGCTTGGGAAAGCCTTCAATAAACAGGCCGTGCATTCCATATTTTTGGTCCGTAATTAGCGTGTTTAGAGCCCAGAAGGCCTCCTCCTCCTGCATGTAGAGCAGCAGGACGCCGGCGACACAGGCCATGCCCTGGCAGTATCCCAGCTCCGAGTTGTAGATACTGTAGGCGTTGAGCACATTGAAAAGGGAACACTGCTTGACGCTGTAGCGCTCCCGGTAGGCGAGATTGTCCCTAAACTGCCGGTTTACGTCGGCATCGATCTGTCGCGTCTCCGTGGAGTACTTCTTGGCCAGCACCAGCATGCGGTTGTACACATCTTTGTTGTTTTCGATCGATTGCTTGACATTTAGCAATCGTATCCAGGCCGGCCAGCGCATGCGATCGGGAATCCCCTTGTATACGCGCTTGTGCAGCTTGTCTGGCGGCGGTGGCCAAGTCTCCAGCATCTTCACCCATTTCTTAACGCGCTCCACTTCGATTTTGGTGCGATGCACCTCATGAGCGTCGCGGGTTTCCGGCAGGCGGGAGTCGTGCATGAAGCCATATCTGCGATGAGATACGTTATCGGTTATCAGTTAAGAAGAATGGAATTTCATGGATCTTAATTACTTGTCTGTTATGTGATAGATCTCGAAGGTGGGATTCTCCCAGGAGTCCACCTTGTTGGTGGGGTCCAGGCCAAGCTCGTAGCGGCGAAAGATGCCCTCCCGCTCGTCCTCGGCCCGCTTGACCAGTGCCTCCTGCTGTTCGCCATCCGTCATCGTTGGCCGGCGCAGGGCAACCAGGAGGGTTGGGGGACTAGGAGGAGGACGAGGCTGAGGATCAGGCTGTGGAGGAGCGGCAGTGGGAGCGGGAACTGACGAGTCTGGGGAGCGGATGCTGCTTCTTAGCTCCCTCGGCGATAGCGCGAAACTTTGATAAAAGACAAAAGCGAATTACAAGCATGAGAGCATCAGCATACGACAGCAGTTACACTCATCTACGCTATATACTCCGAATATAATGTACAAAATATGCAAACAGTCATACGCTCACGCACACTCTCGCACTCTCACATATTCACGAAAGACCATATATATCGCGGAGTTTCTAACCAGACATACTATATGTAAATGCAACTGATCCGATTTCACTGGGGATTTTGATAGATAGATTAACGTAGACTAGTAAGCTGGCAGTGACGTGATGTGTTCATGTTTCAGCGCAGCATCAAAACACGAATCACCAGCTAAAACATGACAGCCCACTGGACACATCAAAAACGCCCCCGTCTAGATAGAGCGAGACACAAGACCCAAACTTATAGCAGATCGGAGACTATGCGATGGGGCTATAAGTGTTTCATTTTAATGCACTGCAAGTGCTCTTCATGTTTTATCTTTCACCCACTTCCTGTTTTCGCTACGATTTGTTGTATTTTTGTCAACACAGACTCGCACACATACACGCGCGTGGCTACGTTCTTTGGCTTTCACCAACCGACGTCGGTGGCTGAGCGCCCCGCCAGCAAGCTTGTTGTTCCAACTGGCCTCTAATTACCATTTAATTCGTGTGTGTTTTCTTATTAACCGCTCGGCGCTGGAGTGTTGGGTAAACTATTTTTTCACTATTTTAGCGCTGGTCGAGCTGCATTTCGAGACAGTGTTGCCGTTTAAGCCATTTTATAGCCGTTTCTGGCTTGTTTGATAGTGATTGCCGGATACTGATTATGGGCTGGCAATGCTGTCACAGGGCTGCCAATTGTACAACAAAAGAACCTTTTGAAAAGCGCTAAAAAAATCTAAAAAAAACTTTAATTGAACTAAAAGAAAACAAAAAAACAAAATTTGGCCAAATCGAAAGACTAATTCTGCTTCACTTTTCCCCGATTTTAAAAATTTGTAAACGATAGATCTAGAGCGAAAAAAGCTACACTGGCAACACTGGCTGCTAGATGGCGTTCGGGCACGGGTATTTTTGAATTCCCAAGCTGGCCACTCTAAACTTCGACCATTTTTTGCCACGGATTGTGTATGTAGTTTTAATTGTCTTGAAAAAAAGTGGGATAAAGTGGATGTCAGCGTTTAGTGGCTGCTTTGAAAAGTACCAAGTTTACTGCTAGACACTGTGCGCCACCTTGTGCCGCGAAACAAACGATGCCCATGCAATAGTTCCATTTACGAAAACGGTACGAAGCCAGCTTCGATATTCGAATTTTGAAGTGCGTAGCAAATTTGAAACGAACTTCATACAACCGAAAAAAGCGACGAGACGCTCAATTGAACGCAAAGAGCAGAACGCTATCGTTCTGTTTTGGCGGAGTGGACTTAAGTAATGCTAGTTTCTTTGGACACTTGCAGCTCTTCGTAGACGCTGGGACCTATTCTGTCCATTGCTTTGAGTGAAGCAACCGTCGCTTTCCTGGAAAGATGGTGTCCACCCGCCAAATGTGCGGCAGTGCCGCCAGCGGGGCCGGATCCACCTTTGCGCCGCCACTAGAGGCAGCCAGCACCTCTGGCTCTTCCTCCTCCACCTCCATGTCGTCGAATGTGGTATCGCAACAGGGAGCCCAGGAGCCAGAGTCCACGGGCGCTCGTACTTCCGTCCTGCGGCGCACGGCCAACTACAACAACAATCCATCGCAAACGCAATCGCAGCTCTCCTCACCGGCCACCCTGGCCTTCTCAGCCAGCGTGGTGACCCGCCACCACTCGTACAACATGCAGATGCAGCGGAGCGATCGGGTGCGACCTGCTGCTGCTGCTGTTGCTGGTGGCCATGTCACCACCCCGACGACAAATCTGCTCGATCTGCCCAACGAGCTGATCGAAAAGACGCTCAGCTATTTGGACTACAAGAAAATCTCGCATCTCAGATTGGTAAGTGCCGCCGTCCCCGTGCCCCTCTCGGTTGGGGCTATTAAATCAATAAAAAGCAATTTGAAAAGTGCAAGAGCGTGGGACGACGGGCGCAGAGAGTTGGTTGGTTATCCAACAGCCAACTACCTGCACTTGTACGCCCCGTACATTGTTGTTGCTTTGGCTATTGCTATTGCTATTGCCGTTCCGTTCCGTTCTGCTGTGTTATGTGCATTATTTTTGCCACTCGAAGCACCACGACATCGGTCGTCATCGGCCGGGCCTGGCTGGTCGGTGCGTTCTTTCCTTTGCAGGAGGCAATTAAAACTTTGTCACGAGGGCACATGCACTTGTGACTGTTTATATTTAGCAGAGCAGGGCAGGGCAGGACAGCTCTTGATCGTGATTTCAGCTAGCAAGACATCAAGACTGATAGTCAGTAAGTTTCCCAAAAGGTTCGAAACCTTGGCTTGGCTTTAACATTTTTATTGACTCTCCCTAACTCCTCTTAAAGTGTCTTTAAAAAATCATTTTTCAAGGCAATTGTAGACTCAAGGTCTCAGGGTATCTACACTTCGGTGTTTGTGTCTTGTTGGCATTTTATGCTGCCTGCCTGCACATCGCCTACCCCCTCCCATCGCACCGAGCGTGTGTGTGTATGTATGCCGCCGCCGAGCGCCTGCATGTGTATTTGTCGTAGGTAGCGGCGACAAATGTAATCTGATATAATTTAATAACAGGCAAAACCACTACCTTGCCACTGGATGCGGGCTTAGCCAGCCCAGCAGCCGAAATCTTAGCCCGGTCCCGAACCGGTGAATCGTTTTTATCTGCCCCTTTAGCCAGACCATATCTTGTGCCCGCAATCTGACTCGCATTCCGGATATGCATATTTGCAGGTGTCGCATCGCTTCAACGACATTTCTATGGCCATGCTGAACGCAGCCTTCTCCAAGCAGATCAAGACGACGTTCAGCCGCTTCCAGTCGATCAAGGCCAGTATGCCACGGCGGGAATCGGCCCGCCGTAACCACCCGCTGGCCTGCGAGTGCGACATCATCGAGACCTGCTATATGCGGCTCTCCTTGCTCCAGATGTCCATGGGTAAACACATTGAGCGGGGTCACTGCTGCTTCTTTCCAGGCGCCGTAAGTAGAGGATATCACTAATCACTCTTGGTACTCAGCAAAGCTGATTCGCCTCGTTTTTCCTTGCAGATATTGGATGAAGTGCAGGCCATTTTAAACTATATCAGTATTACGCCCAGGCTGCAGCGACCGTATCGGGTAACCGATGAGCTCTTCGATCTCTCCACCATGGCCATGGAATACTTTAAGGACCGCATCGAGCCCACACTTCCGGGTCTGGCCTACTTCAACAAGGATTTCTACAAGTTGCCCACCACTACAAAACGACGTAAGCTCAAAACATATTTTGAAGACCATGAAACTAACATTTTCTCTTGCGCTTGTAGCCATTCTTGCCATCAGCTCAGATCTCGAGGACAGTGCCAGCAACTCGCCCCCACAGAATCATATGGTGCTTCGCAAGGGCATCCGGAAGATTAAACAGGGCATGAAGATGTACAACAACCAGCTGACGGTGCTGCGCACCGAGTTGCGAACCTGCAAGCGGAAAGCTGCCGAGCAGAGCAAGCAGCTGGCCGAGCAGCAAAATCTCTTGGCGGAGCAGCAGAAACAGACTTTGGAGTACGCCAATCGGCTGGACGAGAATGACAAGAAAAACGAGGAGATGGCCCGCAAGTTCTCCACTCTTTTACAGGTTCGTTGGGCAAGGTTTTCGACTATTAGATGCATTATAACTTTTCGTTTTTTAGGAGCTCAACAAGTGCAAAACGGAGCTGCAGTTTTGGCGCTCCAAAAGTCCAGCCATTCCTGCCGTGTGCAGCTCGTGCAATCAAAAGGCAGCACCTGTGGTGCCGCCAGAGGATTTTCAGGTGCTGGTCAACCAAGGTGTCGATCCGGAGCACTTCATCATCATTAGCGAGGATGCTGATGGGGATACCGAGAGTGATGTTAGTGTGGGCGAGCTGAAAGAGTTTGCCTCCCCGGACGAGTCCACTACAGCCAAGCTTCTGGCTGTGAGTTCGGCCGCAAGGAATCTCAAGCGGAAACAGCCGTCGGAGGGCCCATCCAACGCCATTGCGTCAACTTCGAAGGCGGCGGAAGCAGCCCAATCCAATCAGCAACTGCAGACAGCCGGCGGCTACTCGCCGAAGCTCTTTTATGGCAATCACCAGCGCAGCGGCGTTATAGTCAGTCCAGTTTCCATGAAGCTGGCGACTGCCTCACAGCCGGCCACGGAAACAGTGACCGTGGCGCCGGCTGGTGGCCCCGAGGCTACCGAAGAACCGGAGGAGGCGAAGAAGGCACGTAGAGTACAAAAGACCAGCAGATATGTAAATACAGCTGGCAAACGGAGTAAATAAGGTTTAGAAATACGCATATACACTTTAAATATTTTGTACCACTTATTTACATAAAAAAAAGCGCGCGTTTCCCGGAGTCGTCTAGCTGCCAGTGATGCGGGCTAGAGATCGGGGCATGCGCCGTAGTGTTAACGGAGGAATCAAATTAAATATACACACATATATCTATTAATGTCAAAATGCATTAGGCATTGCGAATATTATCATTATTATTATCAAGTACAACAAGAAACGTGTCTGTATGTTCTTCAGTTTTAACGCCCCACAAAACCAACAAATTCAAGTTAACCAATCACACTACACGAACATACACACGAATCCCGTAGTTATTTGGCAGAGCAAAACAGATAATAATAATTTAAAAGCAAATTAATTTTAACTAAGGAAAACTTACAAAAAGAAACAAAAAAACAAACTGCAAAGAAATATTTTAAATAAAACTTTAAAAGCATTTAAACTTTGAATGAGTTTTGCGATTCGTCAGGGAATAATTTACATTTATTAACAGAAACAAACTACAATAGAGAACGTTTTTGAGAGCGTTCCTTCCCAGCTGCTGGCGTGTTCCGTTCATCCCAGAGCGTAACCCCATCGCAGGCACAGATTCTTTTAAAGTTTTCCAGGATACCGGCCGATCGTGCGATGATTCCACACGCAATTCTGCAAGAAAACCTTGTTTAACCTATTCCATACGAAAGTGAATCAAAATGCTATTCACCTGTCTCCGGAGTTGCCGTCGACTAGACTTTGATCGTTGCCCCCTTGCCCCAGATCGTCTGGACTAGACGTTATGACCACAGACCTGCCAATGATGTCCCAGACCTCCAGAATGGGGTCTACGAATCGGAATGTGGCTCTACCGCTCTCGTCAGCCCTTATGTTACCCAAATCACCAGCATGACGTTCCGTGGCCCCACCTGTGGGACTTCCGTGGGGCGATTGTCGCGGGTTGTAGTGGGCACCAACCGAAGCGCAGCCAGCGGAAGTGTCTCCGCACTCGTGGATGTGAAACCCGTGCAATCCGGGCGCCAGTCCATCAACTACACCATCGACTACTGCACCAGGCTCCTTCGCTGTGATAGTCGTGAAACGCACCACTCCCTGGACAGGAGTTTTGTCCACAACGCTGCCTGTGGTGTTGATAAGAGCCACGGCCGATTGGCCGCCAAATCCGGAGAGGACGGCATTGAATCCAGTGGCTTCGATTTTGTCGTGCACCTCTGACCAAGGTCGTTGGGTCTGGATGATCACACGCCCCTGTTGAGGGTCTATTTCGATTTCACCGAGACCGGTTAGTGCGGCCTCCAAAGTCTTGGCCTGCTCCAGGTCTCCCCTTCGCATTTTAACTGCAAATTCAATCTAATCTTTAACATGATAATCCTGCGCTCTTCTTACATATTTACCTTAATGGAACTCATCTTGGGAAACCTTGGAATATTGTGGGGAAGTGGAAGCTCTGCTGAATAACAATGATAAACAGAATACTTTGGCTCTTGACATGTTCTGGAGCTTGTTCAGTGTGACCAGAGCAAGATATGTTGGTTTAAGGGCCGTCAAACCATGTTTGAGTTCGATTGCAACCCGGTTTGAGGCCCAAAAAAGTCTTACCGATTTATCGATAACGATTGTTGCTTGAAAGCGGTGTTTTTAAATATTGGTCAGAGCTTAACTTTTGTATTAACTTGGTTAATGTTAAATTGGCATTGTATCAGATATCCGTTTATTCATTTTTCTTTTTATAAGTGTTGTTAAATATTTTTCCTTTTTTCAAGGACGACCCAAGGTGAAACACTCTCAAAGTTCGCCAAATTAACAAAAAAACTTTTAATAAAACTTCGTTAATTTCTTTAATTTTCATCCTATATTTTATAAATATTTATATACAATAGCTCACAACTAATCTCTAAGGCTTAACTAAATATGTACTCAATAAGATCACACATGTTCATTTCTGTATTTTAAGCGCATACAAACGGAGATTTGTATGGCCCAGAGTGGCACCTGGTTTCAGTTCTAGTTCCAGGATCCCTCCTCAAACTGTTGTCTGTGAAGCTGGGGATGAAATCGGAGGGGGTGCCGCCGTCGGTAGGACCTGTGCGGCACGGGATGTGGACGGCTGCACCGGTTCCATTGCGATTACCGTAGCGCCACCTGCATCCGAGTGGGGATCCGTCTCCGAATATGGAGGTGCCGGAAGCGCTGCGATTCCGATGGGACCCAGAGGCTCGGGGAGTGGCGTTTGTGGCACACCCGCCGCCGCTGAAGTGGGCGTGGTAAGGTTGCACATGCGCATCACCTCATCATAGCTAGGCAGTTCTTTGTCATCCTTTTCCAGCTGCTCGCGGATGCGGTTGGCCTCCTCGCTGCCGGGCTCAATGAAGAATATGTCGCCGTAGCGGTTGTGCGAACGTTCCTCCGGCACTGTGAACACATTACCTTGGCGGTCTGGAAGAAATCAATGAAGATAAAGTCAAAACAATGTGAGCATATAGCGGAGGAAAATCCCAAAAAAACAATGGCCCTATCAGGTTCTTACTACCACCTCAATAATTTCATCAATCAGGCGTGTTTGTTACCAAAAAGAAAAAAAAAACATGTTAATCAATCAGGTAGGCTTGATTAGAGAACCATATCAATATCTATAAGTTTTTCTACATCTGATATATGGTCATTAATTATGAAATTATACGTTTTGCAAAGATTACTTGTTTTTGAAATGTTTTATATACAAGGTGGATTAGACGTCTATGGAGTGTTTCATACTTTAGATTAGAAACCACGTCACGCAATTTTGAAAGCGACACACCACTTGTGATATTGATTGAAACTTTTCACTTTTTAAAAGGTGTTTTTAAGGTCACAAAATGGGCTTAACCTGCTCTATTGGCCCGCTGTTCTCGTAGTCTACGAGTCCTGGAGTCGTGGATGCGTTTCGCCAGCTAATTGAACAAAAGTTAACACCAATCCGATTTAGTTAGGGAATAATATTTACGAATATCAACTGGCTGACTATGAAAACCGCAAACACAAAGCCCAAGGCCACGGTCAGATCAGCTACCAGACTCATTCTGCGACTTCTCCGCCTCCAAGAAGACTGCGGGCAAAATAATCGCCCCCACATCAAAACGCAAAAGCCAACGATTAGATAGCCTGTCACCCCGTTCACTTTTTGGCACACGTTACCAATTCCCATTCCGTATCCGATTCCAATGTCGTATCGTTGCGGCCTGATCCTCGGCTGACGGCGTCGACAGCTTCGCGGTGGACAGATCTTGGCCAGGGTTTTGCTCTCCACCCGAATGTAGTAGCAGGCCAGTGGGAGCAGGCAGAAAAATAGAAACACCAGGGACAGGTAGACGGCGACATGGATGCCGAAGTCGCTGTCCCAGTCCATCACAGGATCGGTACCGTGCATTTCAAAGCGTAATCAAAGCCAAACTACAGCCGCAATTGGCATATTCTGGGCCCAAGTGTAGTCTATAGTTTTCCATTTGGAGGGACGGCCATTGATTGCTTGGCCAAGATTAGATTGTACGCCATGTTTGATGGCGGTAATACTATACGCCCCATAAAACTTGCTCCATATATCAGATATACACAAAGTATACCCATATATTTGTATAGGATTGGTGTAGGTGGGTGGGTGCGAAACAAAAGGCAGTGCAACTTACAGTGCTGACTGGCAGAGCTCCGGCGTCTGGAGGAGCAGAAGAATCGCAAAATCCAAACGACGGCAAACTTTTTGTTCAGGAAGGGCAAAAGAATCAATATTAATTCGGAGAAGAATAATTCAAAGGTCTTAGTCACCTGGAGGGCCGCATAGGCCACAAAGCCAATCAGGAGTAAAACAAGGAAAGTAACCAGAGGACTCGCATCCATTGTGCAACAAGCTTGCCAAAAGACTGACCCCCCTGGCTAAAACTGATTTGCAATATCTGCAAGGCGGCCCAGAAAGCCTTATCGCCACAAAGTCCACAATACGCAAACACTCCAGCCTTTATGGATTTATGGGAGCCACTTGATCATCAACCTCCCACCTCCCACCTCCCAGCTACCAGCTCCCACCTTCCACCACCCACATTCTCACGTAGCGGCCAGCATATCAGTTTCATTTGATTTGGTTCCAAATAATACATACCAATGCCTACTAATTGGTTGCGACGTTGACGTCGTCTCTGACGTCGTCCTGGCGTTGGATTTTCAAAACTCTGGGCTTGACTCGATCCACAGCATTTGTTAAGAAGGGTAAATAGCAAAAACTTCATGGAAATGAAGTAAGATGGGATTAGAATCAGGAAAGAGGTTGCGTTGTACCTCGCTTAACAATTTGTACGGCGTAATTTTGCTTCTTTTAGGAATGATATCACATGAAATAATTTACAAGAGTCTAATATTTGTTCAAGTTTTAGTTGGGACTTTTAATAAAAATAAAGGCAAACAACGAAATCAAATAAAAACTAATCGGACAAGCGGTGTTGAGTGAGGTAGACGCGAAGAGAGATCTGAATTCCAGACAGATACCTGCATAACGAAATACACAATGGGCATGATCAGGAAGAATACGAAGAAACTTCCCACGTAGAGGATGAACAAATCCATATTGAAAAACTCCTTATAGCCACTAAGTACACAATCGAATCACTTGAGGGACAAGTTAAAACTGAGCCACTCTAACGGCCGAAACTCTACTTAATCTTATCTGGGCCAGGTTAACCGACTGATTGGCCAAGTGGGTATATATACTATATCCAGATAGCCGCCAAAAATAAGGAACCCAACATTTGCGTATTTGTGTTGGGGCAGGATGGAGGGCAACCTACCACGACGTGGTCTCCGCGTCCTCCGTCTGGGTTGTCTGGCCTCGAAACAGATCCAAATGCAGAATCGCAGGCAACAGAAGGTAATCGCACAGGAGATGAAGGCCAGAAAGAAGAACACCACATACGGCGGGATGTGGGATGACATGCTCGAGCCGGAGGTGAACGCGTCCGGAGCTACAGTAGATTCACGTGGATGCGGGAAAACCGAGATAGATATTCGCTCCATGAAGAGGCCTTCGACCAACTGTCGCATCAGTCGACGCTTTTAGCCAGCCAGCTTTTTGGCCAAGACTTATCGGCGGCGGGAACGGGTAACAGGTAACAGGTGTGTCAAGGGCCGTGTGATAAGCGCACGGAGAACCAACATCGGAGATAAGATACGGCCCGGAGTTCGCTCTCTGACGTTCTATTGCCATTACGGAATGTCTCCATGTGTGCGTATGGATGTGTGTGAGCGTCTAGCAGGTAATGTATCTATATCTGACAGATATGCGCATAATTGCGTTTGGGATAATGCCGACTGAGCACGTGATTATTGCCAGTTTTAAAGGTCGTACATTTAGAAAGGGATTTTCCCGGTTTAAAGGGGTCTTAAAAGACGTTGTGTCTTGGCTTTGAAAGAGATATAAGTTTAATTAGTTTGTTTTTCGTATAACCTATTAATAGAAATAATAGTTTTATCTAGAAGCGGTAGAGTCAACCTTAGTTCTTTAAGCTATTAACTGGGACAAACAATACCCTAACTAGAAATAGTTTTTCATAGTATCTTTATCAATATTCTATTTTAAATCAAGGCTATTAAATAATACCTTTTAAATAACAACTACCTAAAATTTCTTTGAAATAAGAAGACTATAATCTCTAGGCAAGAACAATCTCTAAATTCCAAGAGAAAATCAATCTCCCGCTCAAATGAATGCCACCTGAGCTGCTCACCTGTTGTCCAGCTTAAGTGACTAACACCATCTATCGGCGTGGACCGGCCGGAGGCACTGAATTCGCCCAAAGATGGAATAACCACTGTTCGGGCTCGACGTTTTCGCTTTTCGGCCACACATCTCTGGAATAATCCGATCAAGAATTTCATTCCAAAAGATGGATACACAAACTCACACTAATTGAAAAGTAAAGGATCAGAAGGAAAAAGAGCAGCAACACCCCGAACTCGCACCAAGGAAACTGATAGGCCATATTGCGGAATATGGAATTTTTACATAGCCCCTGGACATGCGACCGAACATCTGAATAAATTAATTTTACTGTCGACCATTTGTGGGTAGCCAGAGTATAATCGAGACACCGAAAAAATATATATCGATAAGGGAAACAAAAGATAGTGGAACCTTATCGGATGGAAGCACAGCTCGTCGTGACTCATTTTCAGTTCGCCTGGCTGGGTGCTCACCTGTGTTCACCCGAGTGACACCCGAAGGATCGATTCGATAGCTTTCCAGGACACGTGCTGGTGCGGTGCCTCCACTGCGACCAGGACCAGGTCCTCTTGAAGGACTCTGGCTGGTGCTGGACTCCTTTTTGCGGGCGCAGAGGCAGCAAACCTAAAATTATCTTTGCCTCAACGAAGGATATCGAATGGATTTTAGCTTCAACTCACTTTGACCAAAATGGCGACAATACAGATTAAAATGAACCAACCAATCTGCACAATCACATACGAGGGATCACCCATTTCAAGAGGAATATTTGAAAAGGAAACCGATATACCACCGGAAATGCCGCGATCAAAGAAGAATTATTTTTTGCACCGTTCGGAGCGCGCAAGAAACTCGGCTAAAATGGCAAAAGCCATGACAGTCATCGAAGCAGTTTAATCACCAACGAAACCCCACTGAACAGGGCTCTTATCAATTGTTGGACAAGTTGCCGATTAAACCTCGACACACACATAATTTATATTATTTGTATTGTTTTTTTCCATATCGCAATCTATATGGAAAGTGTAAAGGTACAGAAGCATTTACGCACCTGGGGACACACCCTCCGATATGGAGACTTCGCCATCGTACTCCCCGGACTCTATGTTTTTCCGGCTTTTGTAGCAAAGCTGTTAAGGCACAGATAAGGGTTAAAAATAGGTGTATACCCAAGAGGGTTATTTAGGTAAAAAGTCTTCTCATTGTGAATAATTTTTTTTGGTTTATAAGTTAATTTTTGGAGTTCTACAATATTATCAATATTAAATTTTTTTAATTATTTAAAGATTTTTTTGTTAGATTTTAGATTATGTTGTATAATATTATACAAAGTTTACAATCATAACTAATAAACAACAAAGTTTTCAAAGGGTATTAATTTGTATTATCAAATATACAAATTCCTCTGGATTATGTCGGTTGAACCTTTAGTTTACATTTTTTAGATTACAACATTGATTAAAACAACATTGAAAACGTTTAACTTTAGGTGATCAATTAAAAATCCATTTAAAAAAATATTTAAACTCTTATCAACCAGAAAAACTACTCATGACCTTAGAACGACCTTTTCCTTTAAAGATCTCTTTCTTTTAACGAGAAACTCACAAAGGCCACCAGCAGAAACATGAGACTTATGTAGAATATATCCATTATCTGCATTTTGTCGATTGAGAAGTAAATCAAACTGATTCTGAGATGGATAGGGTTAGACTGGTTTTGAGAAAGTACGACGTAGAATGCCGGGAACAAGTTGTTCAATTTGCTGGTGTCCCCATATCTTTAAAGTTCCTTAGTCTTTGATACTGTTGTTCACCCCCAAAGAACCATTAAAGGCTTTATCTTATCGACGGAGCTTTTGCGGCTTTCATTCTTAAGATTTGTGCGCTTTTTCTGCAATAAACAGTATCGGATATGGGACAGGGGATCTCTTACCCTCAATGGCCAACCGCAACATCACCTCGTGGCGCAAAAGCCGGGCATAGACCCTCATGTTCCACTCCTCGACCTTCAGTTTTATAAACAAGTAGCATTCCTTGGGAAGGGTGTGGGAATGAGGTTTACTAATATAGCATCCAATTCATTGGTAGAACCTACCCGGACTATGAGCGATACAACGATCAGCACTATAATGCCAAAGAACCAAAATTCCACAACCATCGGATGTTTTTGAATCAAAAGTTAATTCTGACCTTTAGGTGATGAATAGTTTGTTCCAAAAAAATAATATTTTCAACATTATAATTTTGGTGAATATTTTCTGACAGATAGATGCCGCCTGGATAGATGTTCCTAGTTATAAAAACTCACTCACCAGCCGATTCCTGGCTATAACTCAGGCAGCAGATGCACTTCCATTTGTGATTGGGACACACATAGGCCTTCAGATAAATGAACCACAATTAACTTTATAAGACGCTTGAAATCAAGTAACCCAACTCACCCTGATCAGTATAAGGAATATCAGGATGAAGGATGTGAAATAGTAATACTCAACGAACTCCATTTCGCAGTGATGCCGGCAAATGGGGAAATCCAAATGAGGAAAGCAGAGACCCACGGGAATATAAAAATATACCCCAGAGCTACAGAGCTACGATTAAGGGGGAGCTACGATAAAGCTATCTGATAAACAAAGATAAAGTTGACGTTGCATCACGTTAACTTGGGTAATTTTACCTGGCGGGTTACCTGATAAGCAAATCAGAGCTAATTATAGCGACAGGCGGTAAAGTTACGAGCCGGGGAGTTGATAACCAACTAAATCCCTAAGCCTATATGTTTATTTTACAGATCCATTCTCACCATTTCGCATGTTATGGCTTCTTTCCAATCTGGCTGCCGTATTCCTCTCAC